TAAAAATAATGAAAACCTATTTTAAATATAAGTTTTTCTAATTTAAATATTTATTTAATATTTACTTGAATTTATATCCAAAACTGGAGCCCCATTTCACGTAATTTAAATAATTGTTCTTCTCTGTATAAATATAATATATCACCTATTGAATCGGGGGCTGTGTGGCATTATAATTTCCCACACGGCTTAGCCGCTTTGACAGCTGTCCATCGATCACGGGCGGCGCAGCAGAGAGACCCCAAAAATTGAGTTATTTCCCAGGCATCAAAGTGGGTCCAGTTTTTCGGGGTTTTTGGGTTTTAGCTTTTGGTGCTTTATATGCAGGCAGCGATGCCATGAAAGTGCTCCACTTTTTAGAACTCGACTTGGTCGACTTGGACTTTATAGAGTCACCTGGGAGGGGAACCAAGGAGCTGGGGAGCTGGGGAGCTGGGGAGGCGATGTCATACCCAAAATAAGACGCTGACAGCGAAACCGAAAACACACAAACATAATAAACATGTTTCTGACGTCGCTGTCTCGCTGCACAATGACACAATTTAAAATTCTTAATTCTAGATTCGACGATTCTCCGATTCTCGATTGGTGGGACATCGGCAATTAGGTCACTTTAATATGCATATATATATATATATATATATATATATATATATGTTTGTACATATCTATAGTATGCACTTGGGGACAGAGATTGAGAACTGGCATCGGGAATTGAAATCGAAATAGCCATAAAATGAAGAATGATAAAAACTAACAATTAACGCCGCCAGCAAAGTGCAAATAGTGAAAGAAATAATTCTATATTTTTATTCTATTAAAAAATATGAATTAATGGAATTTTTATATAATTTAATCAATTTAATATAGATTTCTGCATATTTTTTCTTTAATTATTAAAATCATTTTATATTTTATTTTTCTCTATTATTAAATAAAAATCTGTTAAATTCAATTTATTTAATTATTTGTAAATGACTTGGTTTAAACTAAATATTTATGCATAGCAATTACTATTTATCAGTAATTCTGATAAAAAAGAAACAGATAATCTTCGATAAGAAGGAATCTTTTTTTTTATTATTATTTTCAGCCTATCTCTCACGTTTTAGTTTTTTATATATTTTTTTAAGCCTATCTCTCACGTTTTAGTTTTTTATATATTTTTTTAAGCCTATCTCTCAATTTTAATTTTTGTATTATATTTCCTATATTCTATAATCTTTCTTTCATGGTATTTAATAAAAAGGAGAAAACAAAGGTTTATATCTGAGAAATACAATTTAAATTTAAAAAAGCTTCGATATTGCAAAGAGTAAAATCGATTTTTGCTTGCAAAAACATTGAAAACTTTGACAAGTACCATATCGGACTATGTGTGCGTGTGCAATGATGACCCCTTGACCTTCCCTAGCACTCTCTCTCTCTCTTTTTTCTCTTCCTCTCTTGCCATGCCGTTGATTTCCTCTCAATTAAGTTTTTAATAAACTTTAATTTCAATAACAAAAACGATTTGTTTTTTGCCAAAAACAAAAAATAACGCAAAGCGGAGGTCAACACCGGCTGACACGACAGCTAAAAATGAACAACGGCACAACGAAAAAAAAAAAAGAATAATAATAATAAACCAACAAAAACACAAAACAGAAAACAGAAACTTCAAAAATAATTTATCAGCATTCGCACGTCACGTCATCCGCAGCAGCAGAGCGATCGAGCGAGGGAGCAGACGGGCGGCAGAGGTAGACGACAGAGACAGCTCCCCATCATTCCTCATCATTAGGCCTGCAGTCGACGTCGCCGTTGACGCTGGCGCCGGCGTTGACGCCCCAACAGGTTGGCACTGCCGCTGCCAGCGTCGCTGCAGAGGTGCGAAATCGGCTGCTGCTGCTGCTTCGACTGCTGTCTCTGTATCTGCCTCCTCCTCATCTTCTTCTTCTCAACTGGTTATCACGGCACTTTTAGAAATTACGTCATTCGGGCAGAGACACCGACAGAGGCAGCGAGATTGTAGTACACTGAAAGGAAAGAAAATACTAAGCCTAGATTCAAAATAAGGTTATGAAAATAATTATTTAATTATTTTTTTATTTATAAATATTTTTGTTTTAATATAAAAAATATTTTAATAAATTTAATTTAAAGGTCGCAAATATTTCAAGGGAAATTATAAAACCATTTTTCATACTGTTAAAATATTATTTTTAATACTTTTCTGGAAATTTTTAAATTATTATTTCCATATTAGGTTGAAAAATAGTTTTCAGTGCAGGCCTGGCCAACGCCAGCAGAGGCGTTTCAAGACGCAGGTCTAGACTGCGACCACGCGACCAGTTCTTGAATACAAAACAAAAAATCGACAAAAAAAATCACAAACAAACAAAAGCTGAGTTTGCAAACGTTTTGCAAAAACACAAACACACACACATAGCGACTAGCTCTTCTCTCTTTGATTTCTTGCATTTGTTTTTTATTTGTCGTTATATTTGTTTTATTTCAATCTTTCTTTCTTTTTTGTCAATTGAAAATGCGAATCTGTTGATTTGGGCGAGTGAAAGCGCTGAAAGTGATGGCCGGCGATCGAGCCAGAGCGCCATCTGTCGAAAAGAAAGCAACAACTATAGCTATCAATCATGAAGATTTCTTCATAAAAAACAGTACATCTTCAAAGATTATAAGAATTAAAAATATTAATTACTTTTTACCAGACATTTTTATACCCTTGCAGGGTATTATAATTTTAGTCAGAAGTTTGCAACGCAGTGAAGGAGACGTTTCCGACCCTATAAAGTATATATATTCTTGATCAGCATCAACAGCCGAGTCGATCTAGCCATGTCCGTCTGTCCGTCTGTCCGTCTGTCTGTCTGTCCGTCTGTCTGTTTCTACGCAAACTAGTCCCTCAGTTTTAAAGCTATCTAAATGAAACTTTGCATATAGTCTTCTATATGCTCTCACTGCTATATATGTCGGAACGGGCCGGATCGGACGACTATATCATATAGCTGCCATACAAATGTTCGATAAATTTTTAGAAACAAAATTATAACTTAGCTGTTTTTCAACATATGTGCACTATTTTTTACATATGACCGTTTTATACTATTTCTAAATTTTGGTAAAAATTTTATGAAAATCGGACGACTATATCATATAGCTGCCGTAGGAACGATCAGGAAATTAATAGAAAAAAAATTATAACTTCGTTGTTTTTCAAACTATTTTTATCTACTCTGAGATATAAGCTTATTTTATTAGTTCAGAATTTTGGTATACATTTTATGAAAATCGGACAACTATATCATATAGCTGCCATATAAACCGATCGGTAGGTGTAGGGAAAATGTAAAACTGGGAATGTAAAACTGTAACTGTCAAACTCTCAACATAATAAGTATAGATAAAATGCAATGAAATAATATCTGCAAGGGTATACAAACTTCGGCGTGCCGAAGTTAGCTTCCTTTCTTGTTTTTTAGTTATTTTAATGGAAGTAAAATTTGAATTCTGAAAATGGTGTTTTTTTAAATTAGATATTTATTTAAGTAGAAGTTAAAATACATATATTTCACTTCTCTTTTTTTTTCTAAAATTTTCTACCAAGCTTTAAACTTAAATTTCGATTACATAATACACTTAAAAATTATAGGCTTCCCACAAAGAGCTTTCTAAATTATTTAAATTAATTTCTTTTTATTAAGTCAATTTTTATGATAATCTTTCTATAAATTATAATATTTATACTTTCCATTTTTTCTAGAACAATCTTAATCTTAATCCACAAATTATTCATAATTCATAATTCCATTTCCTGTACTGGCTTTTTTTAAGGAAGTTTCCCCCGTTTCGTTGGCTAAAATTAAAATAGGTTAGCAAAGCTGTAGAGTCAGCATTTTGCATTTCTATATAGGTTTAAGTATATATGTATGTATGTACATATATGTATATGTGCAGATGTGGATCAAGCGAGGTGTCATTATTGTTAATACAAATGTTATTTGACGTTGTTTTCGCGCTTGAGCTAAAGGTGATATCACCGCCGCTGCCGCCTCAACTTGATTCGAATTTTGTTTGTTTTTCCTTTAATTTTTTTTTTGTTTTCTTTTTTATTTTTGTTCTTGGTAACGATATTGTGAGACCTGTGTTTAGATTATTGTTTAAATAAATGCCTGGACTCTTTGTTGGCGGATCCGCTTATCGGTCAGCTGGAATTGCCAATGTTTTATTTATAAGCTGGAAACGTCAGCCATTTGATGTTTGATTTCGATTTCGATTTCTGATAAGTGAGAAATGCCAGTGAATAACTGTTATGATAGCTATAAACCGGGGACTTGCTTATAGAGCGGGGCCAGTTCCAGAGTTTTGTTTATTTTTTAGACTCTGCGGAATTGTGTAATAATACTTCTTTGTTGAATTATTTCTTGGATAAAAGGTTATAACTATTTGGTAATAGCTCTTATGATCATTTATCAATATATGCGAGTCTGAATCATTCCATTTAGCTTGTTACCCCCTAGTTTGTGTGTAATCCCAGCCATTTTTGGTCATCTTTGTTGCTTCTGCCATTGAAACTGGTGATCTCTGTTGGGGGCGTCATCTCGATTTCTCTAGATCTTGGCCAGAATCGATATATATATATATTCTATATGTAAGGCCACTACTCATGGGCTGAGTCAGTTGTGTGTGTTGGCTGAGACCGGCTAATTGGCGGAGGAGGAGCCACACTTGGCCGAGATGGAGATGGAGCAGAGAGACAAGAGATCGGGATCGGTGGCCGTAAAAGGCAATCCAAGCGCGTTTGCTGAGACGGCGACACGAGCGTGGGGGCTATGGGTACTCCACTTTTTGCTCCACTCCAAACTCGAGCACAAGTTCCAGTTCACTTTACGCTTAATTGGCTCAAGGACGGGGTCACATTGTACAGAGATATAAACTTAAATAAGCTTATATATATAATATATATCTAATATATATTTCTCTACTTCTCAAACCCTTTCCAGTGGCAGCAATCGGAGGACAGCGAACGCAAAAAGCAAATCCGATCGCATCTCTACAAGCTGCGCGAGTCGCGACTTTGCAATCTCTATAGGCACGAACCGGATCATACTAACGCGACCATGTCGGAAACACCTAATGGCAATGGAACCCTGGCCGGGTATGGTGCCAAGGGTCCACTGGCCTCCAGTCATGGGGATGCTCTACTCGATCAGAACTTCCAGAGTCTCAAGTCGAAGGAGGTACGGGATTCGACCAGTCCCACTCATGAGCTGCGGTTCCATTCGATGACCCTGACGCAACCGAATACCACCGGCTGGGATGTCCAGACCTCCTCGGAAGTTAGTCCCGATGGCAGGGCCTATCGCACCGAAACTCTGGCCAAGACAGATGGTAAGTCTACTCGATCTGGTTAATTTTTGTCTCATGGGAAAGACACAGGCATTGAGTTTCCCGGAAAAAACGTCCGGGGGGTTCAAGGTCCAGTGTCTTTCCTAATCCTAACCCTGGTCCCTTGTCGGTGAAGTATTTCTATTATGTGTGTTTAACTCCAAAACTTTGTTTGTTCTGTATGTCCATGTCTACCACTTCAACCCTCAACCTTCGACCTTCAACCTACAACCTACAACCTTCAACCTATGATCTTCGACCTTAAACCTTCAACCTTCGACCTATGACGTGACCCCGACAATCCCAGGTGTGGAGAAGCTCAATGGCGGTGGCCTGGCCGAGTTCAAGGGCAGAAACGAACAGCGATCGAGCGCCTCGCATCAGGGCGATGACAAAAACTTTGTGAAGCAGGCCTCGGAGAGCTCCAAGACCCAGCTGCAGGAGAAGGTGGTCTTTGGCGATGAGAGCAGCGGTCGCACCGAAATGAAGATGAGCTCTACATCCACCTCGTCCTCCTCAAAGGTGGTATCTTCCTCCTCAACTGTGGAATATGGTGATGAGCCGCGCTATCTGCTCGATGGGCAGGAGAAGCCCCAGCAGCAGCAACAGCAGCAGCAGCTGCACCAGCGTGAGTGGGAGGATCAGAGGCGTCAGCAGGAGCAGCGTTACCAGGAGCAGCTACAGCGTCAGGAGCAACAGATACGCCAAGAGCAGATCCAACGCCAAGAGCAGATCCAACGCCAAGAGCAACTGCAGCGCCAAGAGCAACTGCAGCGCCAAGAAGAGCGCTTCTCGGAGAGCCGCGAGCAGAGCAACACCACCCGGAATGTGCAGACCCAGCAGCATTACGAGGAGAACAAGCGCTATGTGGACATGGATAAGGCATCGCCGGAATATCAGCAGCATGTCCAGCATCTAATGTCGCAGCCCGGCGAGATTATATCCAATACGGTGGAGTATCCAAAGCCGAATGTCAAGATGATCACCACGGTCAAGCGGCTGCCCGATGGCACCATTGTCAAGAACAAGCGCTACGAGACGGAGCAGCTGACTCCCAGTCAAAGTCAGACCACTCACAATCAGACCCATAACCAGAATCAAGTCCACAATCAGCGACGTGTCCAGCAGGATGTCCAGGATCACAGCCAGTTGCGCGATGTGGTGGACAATGTGGAGCAGCAGCAGGAGCAGCATGTGACTCAGTCACAGCAGAGCTCTTTCTCCTCGGTCAAGAAGTCCAGCCGTCGTTTCTCCACGGAAACCACTTCAGAGACTGTCGAAGAGTATGATGATCGTGGTCAGCCCTTGCCCCGAGTCCAGCAGAAGGCTCCAACACAGACTCAGGCACCTTCTCACCATGCCCCATCTCCCACATCCCGCCAGTCACCGGGTAGGGACTTTAGCACCCATGGCTTCCCATCGGTGCGTCCGAACAAGCCCACCCAGGAGTATCCCTCCCAGAGACCCACCACCGAGGAAGTGGTGGTCGTGCGTTCTGAGAAGAGTCGCCAGGTGAAGCAGCATCATACCACCAGCACTGAAACAGAGGTCCTGGGCGATGACTACCATCCACAGACCCAATCTACTCCTCAAAAGCTGAGGGAGGCGCCTTCGCCCAACTTCAGTACCCATGGCTTTCCGTCTGTACGCTCAACTCCGCGTGCAGATCAGCCCGATGGTGAGGTGCCAATGACCACCAGGACAGTCTCTCACAATCAGAGCGCAAATCGTAAGACCAACACGGAGCGTATCATTGAGACGCAGGTGGAGCAACCGGGCTCACCCCGTACCGTAAGTCCACGTCGATCTCAGCCACGCGAGGAGGCAGGACCAGCTCCCACCCGCGGACCGGCTGGAAAGCCCAGTCACACTCGGCCAAGCACCAACTCTGGACCTAGTCCAACCACCAAGACAACCGAGACGGTGACGGTGACCCGTAGGCAGCTCCAAAAGGAGCGTGAAGTGGATGCTGCCCATCGGGCCTTTGCCGCCTCGCTGCGTAGCAGTTCGCCAGCGGAGAGTACCACATCGGTGGGATCCCATCATCAGCCGTCCCATCATCAGACACCGCGTTCGAGCATCTCCTCGAATCGTACCTATCGACGAGAGATGCGTGAGGGCTCCCACGAGAGCCAGGCGCCGTCGGAAACAAGCAGGATTAGCTCTAGCACGGTGACCAGGCATACGACAGGAGGAACCACTACTAGCACCACCACAAAGACGAGCAAGAAGCCAAGTCCAGTGGTGAGCCGAGGTCCCAGCGAGCCCAGGTCGCCAACACCGAAGGCGGGAGGACGTCACAGCGAGCCAAGATCGCCCACACCAAAGGCAGGAGGAGCTACAGTGACAACCACAACGACTACGACCACAAGCAGTACCATTAAGGGAGGTCCAGTGCCAGCTCAAGCTCCAGTTTCACCAGCACCGGCTCCTGCTTCTCCAGCACCAGCACCAGCTCCAGCCAGTCCTGCTCCAGGTACGAATTAGAGAAAAAAGAGACAAAAGCTCAAGTAAATAAACCCACATGACTATATACTATATAATGCTATATAAATATTGGAACCTATGAACTATGTATATGAATGTATATCCTTCAGATAACAAGCTATCACAGTATACGTATACTACCACTAAGCCTGGCGATATATTCTCTCTGCCACCAACTACTCCTCCTACTATTAACAACGAACCAACACTAACCACCACCACCACCACCAACAAGACAACAACAACAACCACCAACAAAAACCAAGAACCAGCGAAATCCGTAACAGAAACTATAGCCGATACCGATACCCAGCCGATCCGCAAGCTCCAGGTGAGCGCCAATGAGGCAAAGGCGGCGTCGGTGGTGGCGGAGGAGGCGCCCTGTGTCCGTCGTCATTATTACCAGCTGGGCCAAGAGGGGGAAGAAGAAGCCCCAATCGCCGAGTTGGCAGACGGGAGCTCTGGGATGACCCCTGGTAAGGCTTGAAAACAACAACTCGATCGGCAAAGATAAAATCAAGAAACTCTGTACACTTTTAACTATGCTATATTACTTCTTTTTTATTTTGGAACTGTTTGCAAATAAAAATAAAAAATAAACCTTTAAAAAAACCAAACTGAAATGTTCAAACACGAAACTGAAATTGCACTGAAAAAAATAAAACTGAAATAAACACTGAATTGGGAATGCAAATGGGCAATGCCGAGCAAGAGAGCGAGAGAGATCTTGCTCGATGGTCTACTAAGTCTACCATGTCTAACTTTTCCTCAAATCCTCTCGCGTTTTCCACTAATGGGTACTACCACCAGTCTGTTTGCCTGAGGTTAAGCCTTTGCCTGCGCCTGTAGAAAACTGCTAACCCCCCGTACGTAGTACGTAGTTGAAGCTGCTGTCAGCGTAGTTGTGACTAACTATCTTAACTTCTAACCATCACCGTAGACACTCACACTTAGCACACACCCACACCGGTTGTAGATGTAGAACGAGAGATCACTTTGAGATCACTTGAGATCACGATCCCTCCCCCAAAATCTTATGCCCTGATCCGTTGCAGCCAGCAAGAAGCCGTATCCGCAATTGAGAAGGCAGTCCCAGGACGAACCGGAACCTCAGCTAAAACGCAGCTCCAAATCGCCAGGCGTTCAGAGAGAGACAACCTTCGAGGGTCGTCGTGTCTCCCAGCCGGTAGAGGAGGATCTGGATAAGCTGGCTATCGAGGAGCTGATCATTATCGAGCAGGTTAACGGGGCTCCACGAGCTGAGCCATCGGTCAGAGCTACTAGTCCCGAGAAGGGTCCTAGGGCCACGCCCAGACAGAGCCCAGAGAAGGAGCAACCGAGCTTCAAGCCAACGCGTGTCCAGCCTCAAGTTTCGCCACGTCAAAGTCCTGAGAAGCAATTACCCAGGACTCAGACACCTGGCGTAGGTCAACCTGTTGGTGTCCCCTTGCGTCAGAGCCCCGAGAAGCAAGTGCCACGAGCTCAAAGTCCCGAAAAGGGACCTCAACCACGTGTTTCACCACGGCAAAGTCCTGAAAACCAACAGCCGATGAAGCCCCGTCAGAGTCCCGAAAGGGAGCATCGAACAGAGGACGACATTTTCCGTAGCACCATTACCAAAACCGAAAAACGAACTACCTATAATCTTAACGAAGAATTCCTAACGAACGAACGAGATCATCAGACGACTAACGATAAGGAACCCCAAGCTCCTAAAGAACCAAACGATGAAGCGCCCACATCAAAGCCGCTGGAGACCATTGAGAGTCCAGATGGTGGTTTCCTGTCCAAGGGAAACGATGTCGAGTCAGAACCTGAGGAGAACAAGTCGCCTACGTACCGCAAAAAAGGCTTAACACGTCGCGAGACCTTCGAGGATCGTTGTCGCAAAATCTTGGGCATGGAGGAAGATGGAGACACACAGGGAAACTTTACTCAACGACCAGAGAATGAACATGATGATGATGACGAGGATGACAAAAAGAATATCACCCAGACCACCACCATTGAGACTATCGAGGTAAAGATCGAAGATTGTCCCGATGACGATGACGATGATCAACCACGTCGTGTCACGGAGACATTTGTGGTTCGTACTCAGCCCAAGATTATGGTGGATGAAGAGCTACTGGTGGATGTGACCGAGTCTGAGGAAGTGGAAGTTCTAACCAAGGAAGTTGAGCGTCCTAAATATCCCAATGAGCAGGAGGGCCCTAAAAGTCCAAAGAAGGAGTCAGTTTCCAAGAATGAAGAACCCAGCAGGTATCCGACTAAGCCAGAGGGTTCCAGATATCCCAAGGCACAGGAGACCCCAAAATATCCCAAGGATTATAAGACTCCCAGCTTCCCGAAGGATCAAGAAGGTCCAAGGTATCCCAAGGAGCCAGAGCAGAAAAGCCCCCAAAATCCCAAGGAGGACGCGGAGACAATTAATATCAATGAGGAGACCACTATTGTCATAACCAAGGAAGCCGGCTCCAAGTCTCCCACCCCCACCTGGTCACCATCCCCTGAACGCCGAATTCCTAAGAAGTCAACGTCACCAACATCCGCGGTTGAATCACCCTCTAGTTCTCCCTCCTTTGGCAGGAAGGCTCCCGTCAAGCCGGAGACGAGTTTCGTCACCGAAAAAATCATCGATTGTCAGGGTAAAACCGTTGTCGAGAAGATCACTCAGAGGACGCGATCGCCAAGTCCTAGCACAGTCAAGAAGGTTCCTAAGCCCACACAAAAAGTACCAGAAAAGCAGCCCGAGACTGAATCCGAACCAGAAAAGGATTCAGAACCGGAGATAAAGAAGAAAACAAGTGTGAGCAGCATCACGAAAACCGAAACTGAGCGTCGGAATTCGCGTACGACAAAGGGAAAGCAGCCCGTGGCAACCAAGGAACCCCGATCGAAAGTACCAGCTCCGAAGGCTCCTCGCAAGGATTCCCTAACTGGTCACAAGCGGGACAGTGTAGTGGAAGAGACTCGCACTTCCACTACGACCACAACAACTAGACAGGGTCGTAAGCCTACCGATACCAACGGTACTACACTATCCCCATCATCCATCAAGGATCGCCTACGTTCTTCGCCGCGCAAGCAGAAGACTACACCCCAGCCGCCTCGAACTCCCACTCCAGCACAGTCTCGTGGCCCCGAGGATAATGTAGATGGTGATTCCACTTCGCCAGATGCTAGTCCTTCGCGGGTAAGCAACGAACGCCGACGTTCGAGCAACATTTCCGTGCACACGGAAATCATTATCGATCACACGGCTCCCAAATCGCCGAGGACCGAAAGGCGGCCCCAACAGCCAACAGCCACGGCTCCCAGTCCCATAAGAAAACTTCCGGTAACAGAGCGCAAGGAGTCCGCACCTGTGCCTCGGGTCACCCGACGCGATAAGACCGAAAAGGTTACTCGTTCCACCAGCGAAAATATAATCAAGGTGAGCAGCGGAGGCACAAAGCCTCACCATCCCGAGATGAGTAGCCTGAAGCCCGGTGGGGAGAGGATTAGACCTAGCAAGTGCTGCACCACCAAGACGATCAATCTCAGCGAGCAACGCATTCACACAAACACCGATATCGAGGGAGTAATCATCGATATTCAGCAGGCGAAGAGCTCGAGGGAACCGTCACCGGATCGCATTGTGCCCACCCCAGTGCCTGCGGAATTGGAGACTGGCAAGCCACGTTACCCGGATGTTGTGCAGGAGCCAGATGATGAGCCTCGTCGCAAGCCACAGGTCACAAATATCCCCATTTTCGAGGAGGAGTCTCAGGCGTATGTGGGATGTCAAATATCCGAATTGCGTAGCTCTAATGGTTTAGAGGTGGACATTCTGGACAATCCCACTGTGGAGGCACCCAAGAGTCTGGATTATCCGGTAAATACACCCGATACGGATGAAAGCCTATTGAGTGTCCACGAGAAGGTTTCTCGATTCACTCACTCCGCCGAAAAGGTAAAGCAGCCGAGAGCTTCAGTTCCATTTAGCCGGGAGTTCGATACAAACTCTAAGATACCGGAGAACGACGACTGTTTGCTGAGCATCAATCAAAAGGTGGACAAGTTTTTGCGCACGGCCGAGAACGTTACCAGGCCGGCGTCACTCTCTCCTCGACCGGAAATAGAAAGACCAAATCTGGAGGAGATTGACGAGGAGCTTCTTAGGGACGATTGCATCCTAAGCGTGTCCCAGAAGGTGAGCAAATTTATCGATACAGCCGAGAAATTGGCACCGACCGTGCCACAGAAATCGCCGCGTCTGGTTGCCAACATCGAACGTCACATTTCAAGGCAGAGCGAGCCAGAGCGGGATCTGGATGAGGAATCGGAACCAGAGCTGGAGCGGGAGACAGATCAGGAGGATGGCCAGACTAGCCAGCTGGAGGAGGAGGAGGAAATCAGCCGAACGGTAACCAGAAAGGAGACCATTAGGGAAGTCAGGCAGCAGGAGACTAGAGAGACAACCCGACGGGACTCCAAAGGAGAACCTGAAAAGGCTTCCAAGAAGGTACCACAAAAAGAAACCCAAGTGAAGCCGAAAGAGGAAAGGACTAAGGAGCCCAAGTATCCGGCCAACTTGCCCCAAAAAGTGTCACAGCAACCTCAAAGGGTTATCAGCCAAAAGGAGCCGAAGGAGCCTAAGCCAACTGCAGCTCCAACCAAGTCCAAAGGTGAGCCGGAAAGGTTACCCAAAAGGGAGCCCAAGCTCACACAAAAGGAACCCGAACGGCTGACCAAAAAGACACCAGAGAAGGAACCGCGCAAAGATTCCCTAAAGCAACCTGAGGAAGAGTTCGAACTTTCACCTGAAGATGAAGAAGAATTCGGCGACGAGCCTTTGCCCATGACCAAGACGCACACCACAACCATAGAACTGAAGCGTCAGAAGGACATTCTCAGTCGTCCTTCGGTATTTAATCAACGCACACCAGAACGCAGGCCGCCGTCGTCACCAACCAAGATGAATGGAAGCCGAGGCCGACCAAGTCCAAGCACCAGTTTAATTACCGAGGAAAAAAAATCGTACAGAAATCAGGTGACCAATGTTAATAAGCCGGGACCTAGGAAGACCTCTACTCCTTCGGTTACTCCCTCTGCCCAATCCCCGTCGACAGCAAAGACCACCAGCAGTTCCAAGCGCATGGAGCACATTACCCAACAACAATGGGTAGTCCAAGATGTGGATGTAGACGTAGAAGAAGTGGGACCTGCACCTCCCACCCATACAACCGAGAAACCACAAAGAACCAGCAAATCTCCAACACCATCGTCACGATCGCCATCGCAATCTCCCTCCCGATCGCCCAGTAGACGAACCACCTCCAACAACTTGACCACGACAACCACCACCACCACCACTGAGCACCGTCACCTGCACCCGAGCACTCCCACCACTACCAAGACAACTGGCCCCAAACCGACCTCGACTCTGACTAACCCAACCAAAGCCGAACCCGAAATCACACCCATTGAATCTGTTACAGAGAAAAGCACTACCATCATTACCACCACGACGAGCACCACAGGACGTAATGTGGCCAACCGCAGAAATGTGTTTGAACCAGCACAGGAATCTCCTACGGGAGAGTCCGAGCAACCCGCCGGACGTCGTCCCTCGTACATGGACCACACAAAGAGCTCACTGGAGCATATCCGTCGTGATTCCCTGGAGATTAATAAGAGCCACTATTCGAGAAAGTCATCCGTGGAAGATGATTCCCCTATGGAACCACGAAATCCCAACACCGCTGTAAAGTTTGATGTGCCCCGAAAGACACCAACGCGAGGCGGGGAAGAGCCAAGAAAGACATCTCTAAAGGGTAAAGATGATGAATCCGATTTAGACGTAGAAATCGAGGAAATCTTCGATCTGCAGCGACTGGAGCAACTACTGGAGACAGTGGCCAGTTACGAGATGCGTCGCCGGATACGCGCCCAGATGCGTCTGATACGCAAGAACATGATCAATGCGGGGACTACAACCAGTAGCCACACCATTACCACCACAACATCAACCAGTTCGGGCAAGAGTTCGCCACTTCCCAAGAAGCGTGAGCCGAGTCCTTTGGCCAGTCCGGAAACAAAGACGACCAGCAGTAGCCTGAAGGAAGTGCGCACCAGTACGAGTCGCCGGCAGCAGCGGGTGGAGCAGGTGGACAGCAAAACGTCTTCACAGGGAAAGACTTCCCCCTATGGCAAGCCGCCAGTGAAGCCCAGGGAAAGGAGCGCCAGTCCGGCTCAAAAACGTCGTATTAGTCCGCCTGGCAAGTCATCTCCGGCTACCACCAAGGTCACCACAATTACCACAACCACATCCTCTCGTGGAACGCCATTAAAGTCAACACAAGGACCCATTTGGGCTGATCGTTCCAAGGTGCTTAAGGGTCACGCCGCGGTTCCCCAGACAAATGGCAACAGCACAACCCCACGCAAGGGATCCACTTCCAGCACGACCTCATGCAGTGGCAAGGTCACGCGCACAATGACCAGTTCCAGTACCATCACCAGCTCCAGTAGTAGTAGCACAAACAAGCGCAACAAGCCACGCGAGGAGGATTCCATTACCTCCAGTTACGGCGTGGGACCCACCGATGAAAACGGACTGCCGCTCTTCGGGATTCGTGCGCTCAAGAAGAAGACGACGCCACCGGTGACGACGACGGTACAGGAACCCTGTGAGACCAAGCAAGGTAAATTATAACTCATATCCTTGATTTATCCTTTTTCTGTAATATAACCATTCTCTGCAGAAGTCACAGGCTATGTGATCGAGGAGCAGTTCTACTCGGATAACAAGTCCCCACCGCGTCACGAGCGTAAGGAGCTGATCTACTCGAGCAATGCCGATGAGCTGGCTGCCATCAAGCAACAGCTTCAGCAGGAGGACGAGAAGGACTACACACCGCCGGAACTGGACTCCAGGGTGGTGAGAGAATTCAAGAAGGTGGAGGCCCAGTCGCAATCGCTGCCCGAAGATGCCAGATATGTGCGTCGCGGTTCGGTGAAGGAGCTTAGCGAGAAGTTCATACGCAAGGAATCCTCCTCCTCCACCCACTCGACAACCGTCCAGTCGTTGGCCAGGAACGAGGATGAGACCGAGGAGGATAGCGAGTCCAATGAGGTGTGCAGCGTGATTGAGGCACCACCACAGATGCGTCAGAATCAGAGTCATGTCACCAGCAGCAGCACCACAAGGTCCAGTAACACACGATCCTTCCTCAACAGCAGTGCTGATCAGCGTCAGGTGACCAGCGTGGATGATGTCCTTGAGAGGATGCGCAATGCGGATAATGGTGAGGTTTAGATATTAATTTAATTATAATTAATTATTATTATGTTATATTTAATTTTAATTTTATGTTTATTGTTTTTATTATTTCTATTTTATATTTCATGTTTTTTTTTATTTTATGTATTATTTATTTATATTATTTAATTTAAATTTGTATTGCATTTATTATTCAACAGTTGAGGAGCCCGGTGACAGCAGCGAGGATCGCGAGGCTCGGGCCTTGCTCAACAAATTCCTGGGGGCCAGTGTGATCATGCAGGGAGTGGAGAGCATGCTGCCACCCACGGCCACAGGTCAACGTTTAAACACTCAAGGGGTGAGTTTGAAAAGAAAACCTACTAAAAGAAGCAATAAGATTAGGAATTATTATACAATAATAATTTAAACTAACAATATTCACATTTATTGCTGCTATATTCGCGGCCTGCACCTGTTGCACGTTTCTTGAGCACTCATTGTGACGTCATAACCTAACCTCAATGCCACGCCGCTCTTACACGTGCACCTGCTCGATTAACCGTTAACTACGCGCTCTTCCGATTTCGCGCTCTCCCTCTCCTGCATCCAACTTTAAGCTGGCCCTCCCCCTCTCCTTGCGCCTGCAGCAGCAGCAGCTTACAAGCATACATACATTCATATAAACTTACATGTGTGCCGTGTGCGTGATGTGATGCCTCGCTGGTCAGAAGAGCAGCCAAGAGGAGGGGGAGGAGCAGAAGAAGCAACAACAACTGCCGCGGCAGAGGCAGCAAACGGCTCGCTCGAGATCGAAATTGTCAGTACAAACTCAGAGGCGGCATCGATCACATCACTTGTGCGAAGAATAACGGGCAAAAAGTGGCTGGCTAACAAAAGATATAAAATAAAAATAGATGAGAAGGCTTGTGTTAAAAAAAAAAGCATAACAAAAGACAAGTTTTGGTTCCACAAATACAAAGAAGAAGAAGAACCATAACCGTAATTTTTTTTCCTGTGCGGCAGACAGTTCTGTTATTATTAATAGTTACAGTTGTTGTTGTTACATGGTGAACAACCGCGAGTGTCCATATTTGGTCTAACGGCAGGCGCAACGGCGAAATATTGCGGCAAATCCGGAGAGCAAAGAGAGTGAGTGAAAAAGAACAATGAGAGTCTGAGAGTGGATAATGTGGGGGGGAGGCATGGGGAACAGGGAAGTGGTCAGCCAAGAGAGTCGGAAAAGAGATGGAAAGGAACGAAAGCTAAGGAAAGAGGAGGGCGGGGGCGGGCAAATACTTTTGTCAATTATTTTTAGTGCGCATAATTTGCTGGCAAGAAGAATTCCTGTCGCGACACCTCAAAATGCACCTGAAAGGCGACGACACACCGCAGGCTACCTAGCTGGCCTAGCTAGCGCTCGATATATAGATATATACAAAGCTATATACATGTGTATATACGGCTACATATAGCTATTTATACATGTATACGAGATACAGACACGCCATAGAGCAAATAAATAAATAAATACATTTAAAAACAGAGCAAAGATTAAGAGGAGAAGCGGGCAACGGTGGAGGAGGAGGAGGAGGTGGAGGATGGATGGATGGATGCATGAATGAGAGAGCGAGCGGCGAGCGGGAAAAGCGTACGGAAAATTTCGACGAAAATAGCTCCAAACGACGGGCACTATTTTTACGGACTATTATACGGGAGACTATGTTGGAGCATTTTTTTTTCTTACTTTTTGGGCAACACACACACACGCACATTCAGCCCAAGGGGGCGGTGTATGTGCATGTGCAGCACGGCTGTCTCTGGCATCCGATGATCCCGTTTCCTTCACTTGCGTGAACCAAATACCGATTCCCACAGATATGCATATATATCTATTCCTCGATGCTACCAGTTCTCCCAAAAATAAGTACTCGAATATTTAAAGATGAGCTAGAACAACCTCAAACAAGGTGGTTATACAAAGGATAATATTATAGCTTTTAGAAGAATTTTTCCGTATCGCAAAGATTCAACTTACTTTTATTACCTTCATAGCAATATGTTATACCTAAGACTTTTATAAAGTCCTAAATAATGTGTTCTTAACGATTTTATCTTGTAAAATGTATACATATATTCATGCATACCTAGAGAAAATGTCCTATTTTAAAAGATTTATATTTAACTTCAAAGAATATTGTAGAATTGCAAAAAGCATTTGTTTAGGTACCAAAATAAATTGGTTGGCAGGGATAGATTTAAATACATTTTTAGAGAAAGATGTTAGAGAAAGTCACAACAATCTTTGCATATTTGGAGAAATTTTAGGGCAGCGACCTATTGCTAGATCTATTAGAAGACTTTTATATAATTAAATTTTTAGATTTAATAAATCTGCTGAAATGTATCTTATAAGATTTAAAGAAATCTTTAAAGTGCAGATTGGTCGAAGATTTTATTAAAAATTAGTGAAAATCTTTAAGTAATGTGGATTTGGTAGAAAAAAAATTAAAGATTAAATCCTAAAATATTGAAACAAGTTCCTAACAGGTTCTAGAATTAGATTATAGAGAGATTAAAGAGATCTTAAAGAAGGGATCCAGAAATCTTAATAGTTACACCGTTCTTAGAAAATTGCAAAAAAAATCTTTGATCTTTCAAAATCGTTGCTTTAATTACAAATTAATACGATATATATCGTATATTATAAATATTATATATATTTATCCAGTCACTTTAAAACGTCCACTCCATGACTCAAGACTCCGTGTCCAAGTGCAACTCCACGGATCCACGATTCCAAACCGAATCGAACTGGAACGTAGAGCCGTTTGCTGTTTCCCATTTTCAGGTGTGTTTTGCTTCTGCCCCTGGTATTTGGTTGAGCGTAACATGCTGAGTCCATCTCAGGACCGATCCCTCCTCTTCTGGGGAGCTCCCAGCAATTCCAGCGATCCCAGCTCTCCCAGCACTCTGCATTCGGTGATTAAGCATTGCACTATGGGGAATTTTGCCATTTCCGTGGTATTTAGTCATTTTATCAAACTTTAAATATTTGAGTTTTTTTTATGTAAACATATTAAAAATATATGGCTCTATAAAATGTAGTACCAGAAATGTTAATTAACAGTGCACTGTTAAGCCTATCCACTGTTAAAGTCGGCTGTTGTAGCCAAAATGCAGGTGATGGAAAATAGCTATTTTTTATTCGGTTATTTTGAAATTGAAAAACTAAAAAGTAGAACCAATTTTTCATTAAAGTTTTGATGGAGACCAATAGTACTGGTAATTATTATGTGTTGTGTGTACTAATACATTGATCTGTGCGTGTCTTACTGATATATTCAGATTTTTCTAAGTGTTCCTCTAAGGAAATTTTTTTGAAAAAATATTTCACTTTGAAGAGACATATAAAAAATATATGTCTTTGTATTGCTGTACGTCCGATATATGTTGTAGAGGCATTCATTCTAAATAAAAGGCAATTTGTCTCAATGTGCACAAATCCGCACAATCTGCGTAATTTAATTTTTTTTGCAGGTCTTTTCGAGCAAATTTTACCAAGAAAAAAACATTTTTCAGGTTAATTACATATAAATATTAATGTGTCAAATCATTTTACCTTTTTAAAAAGCAAAAGCAAATTTTTTTGCATTAATGTAAGTGCCAAATGGAAGATATTGGCGAATTTGAAGGCCTGGACCACTTTTATGAATAAAATGAATATGAAAATGACGTTTTTTATTTTATATCTGACTAAGAGCTTAAAAATGAAGACAATGTATTTTTTTTATTTTGTCTATAAAATATATTGTTTGAATTAAAAAAAAAAATCTACCTTATACACTTAAAAAAAATTTTTTTAAAATACAAAAATCGTCAAGCAAGGGCGGAACCACGCCCATTTTTCCAAAAAACATTTCTTATGGAGTCCATAACTATAATAAAAAAAACCGTTTCGAAATATATTACTTAGTTTAAAAGTTATTAATTAATACCATGAAAATGGCAAAATTCCCCATAGTGCATTGCCCCGGTGATGCCGCCGCTGCAAGTGCTTCGAGTTGGAAAGCCGGTTTCCTCCTATGCCCCCATCACACTGAGCTGGTGACCATAGAGAACTTGCAATAGAAGGAAGAATAATAATACTATGTATAATACCTGGAAAATTAAGAGATTTTAAAATCCTTTAAAGGGCATAAATAAAAGTAATAATATATTACATTTTATATATATAACAAATTAATAAGGGGTCTTCCTTCCATTACTTCCCATCCATTACTTAAGATTTTCTTTTGCTTATATTTCAAGCAATATACAGTTTTTATAATACGGAAAAATACAAACAATATATTGAAAAGTTCCGTAAATCTTTGGGATAATAACTTAAGCCCTGACAGAACCAAAAAAACAGCTGACATGAAATAAAGTTAAGCCCTCACAAGTGTTGTCCGGGAGTGATCAGTGCAAGATGCATGTTCCCCAGATAAACAGATATATATGTGTATATATATCGGGAATTGTCATACGGCCACAACTGAAGTGACTCCCAGAGAGCTCCAATCATTTTTTATACCCTTGCAGGGTATTATAATTTCAGTCAGAAGTTTACAACGCAGTGAAGAAGACGTGTCCGACCCTATAAAGTATATATATTCTTGATCAGCATCAACAGCCGAGTCGATCTAGCCATGTCCGTCTGTCCGTCTGTCCGTCTGTCTGTCTGTCCGTCTGTCTGTTTCTACGCAAACTAGTCCCTCAGTTTTAAAGCTATCTAAATGAAACTTTGCATATAGTCTTCTATACGCTCCCACTGCTATATATGTCGGAACGGGCCGGATCGGACGACTATATCATATAGCTGCCATACAAATGTTCGATATATTTGTAGAAAAAAAATTATAACTTTGCTGTTTTTCAACATTTTTGCACCATTTTTTAGATATGGCCATTTTATATTATTTCAGAATTTTGGTAAAAATTTTATGAAAATCGGACGACTATATGATATAGCTGCCATAGGAACGGTCGAGAAATAAATAGGAAAAAAAATTCTAGTTTCGTTGTTTTTCAACGTATGTTTATCTACTCTGAGATATAAGCTTTTTTTATTATTCTAGAATTATGGTTTAAATTTCATAAAAATCGGACAACTATATAGCTGCCATATAAACCGATCGGTAGATGTAGAGAAAATGTGAAACTGGGAATGTAAAACTGTAACTGTCAAACTGTAAACATAATAAGTATAGGTAAAATGTAATGAAACTCTGTTTTGTGAGTGTTTTCAGCATTTAAATCTATAATATAAACATCGAAACCAATCTGCAAGGGTATACAAACTTCGGCGTGCCGAAGTTAGCTTCCTTTCTTGTTTCTTCCTGCTTTTGTCTTTTGGCTCGTTTTTTTTTGCCGTTTCATAATCGCTGTGCGTGTGTGCCGCCTTTGTCTTTTTGTCTCGCATTTTGCATGTCAAATAATTTCTCAGTTTTTGCCCGGGCTAAAAATACAAATAATAATAATAATAATAACAACACACAATGAGTGGCACAGCGACGCAGCAACATAAAATCGAAAACCGAATGAAAGTCAATTTGGAAATGGACAAATCATTTTTCTTTCTCTTGGAATATTTGTATAGATTGCTTTCGTGTTTTCTTAAAGAAAATTTGTGAAATTGGTGGAGCCTGGGGTGCTTAAGAAGGTGGGATTATGTATATTACTTTATATTTACTTTAAAAAAGAGAATACAAATTTTTTAAAATTTTCAATGCAATATTAACTTAATAAAAAATAGCTCAAAATTATATAAATTGTATTATATTAAATATAATTAAATTATTATTTGCTTAATTAGATATTTGACATTTTTTAATGTCAAAAAAATTGCATATAAATTTCAATACCAATATCGAATGTTTGCGAGAAGTCATATATATCTTGATTTGAAATTAAAATTTTAATTAATAAAAAATAATATTAAATTTGAAAAGTTAATTCGTTAATTTTTGGCCTTTAAAAATATACATAAATACCCTTTTTTGCCCAATAAGAGTTTTCCTACAAAGAATAATTATAAACAATTATTTAAGTTAAAATTTTCCATAATTATAGCCTTTTAGGGTATTATAATTTTAGTCAGAAGCTTGAAAAGTAGTAAAGGAGCCATTTCCGACCCCATAAACCATATATATTACTGATCAGCATCAACAGGCGAGTCTTTCTAGCCATTTCCTGAAAAAAATGTTTAAATTTTTTCCAAAATTTTATCAAAAATTAAAAAAAAATTGATTTCTTAAAATGTTAAATGTAATATGCAGATTTATTAACCTAAAAAAAACGAACATAAAAAAGCCTTCCGAATTGAAATTAATGATTTTTTGGCTTAGTTATGATTGATTTTTGTTTCGTATAGCATAATCCTATGGCAAACTGCAAGGGTATACAAATTTCGGCTTTCCGAAGTTAGTTTCCCTTCTTGTTTTAATTAAAATAATTCTATATATTTAATTTATTTTTTTGTTAGAAGGTATATATTTTTTTAATCAGGGAAATAACTAAAAAGTCATTAAAAAATAAAGAAATAAGTATTACAAGTTTAACTTTTATATATAAAAATGAATAAATGTTTCTAGTGTATTGTACAAATTGCTGTCCATCAATCAAATGGCAATCTCTCTCTCTTTTTTATTTTCTATGTTAAATGACAGTGTCAAAGACAAAAAACAAAAAAAAAAAGAAGAAAAGAAATGTTAAAACTCTTGTTGACCAGCCAGTCAGTCAATGGCCAAGTGCAGCGGCCACATCAGCTTACTGGCAATGATCGCTCTGGTCAGTTGCACTCCCCGCCCACCTGCCACCCCCCTTTTAATTGTTTTCTTCTTGCAATTTCCATTATATTCTTTTTTTTTCATTTTTCATTTCCATGCTTGGCTTGGCCGCCCCTCAATTTGTTCCGCTTTGGCGCAATTGCGCCAAATAGTTGGCAAAAGGCTTTCAGGTCTTTCAGGCCAGCCTCCTCCGACAATAAACACAACAACAAAAATAAATATAAAAATATATTCACCGAACAGAGAACAGAAATTATTAAAAATAAACCAAAGGAATAATCTGCAAAATGAAATTAAGTCAAATTAGTGGAATTTCTTTTTTGTTTCGTTTGAACATCAAACTTTGTGGTGGCCCACATTTTGACAATAACAAAAATAAAAACAAAAGAAATGGGAAATTGTAAAAATGTTTGGCAATTAATTTTTCGGTTTTCCTTCTTTTTTGTTTATAATACAACACAAATATTATATAAAAGAACACAGAGAGGAAAAATAGAAAATAGAGAGAGGAAAAATTTAAAGAATAAATATGAGAAACTTTTTTCCAACCAAAAATATGGTTGACTCTTGTCGTGTGTGTGTGTGTATGTATGTGTGCTTAAATAATTTATAATTAAAAATAGCAAAGGCGTGTTGCAAGAGGAAGAGAGAGCAAGAACGAGAGCGGGGGCGTTTTCGAAAATGTTGAAAGTCAGTTTTTCAGAATACAAAAATGTTTTCCCACTTGCCGCTGACCAAATTTGGTCAAATTTATATAAACAATGATACATTTTTCATTTCGGCCAGAGAGAGAAGAAATACTAAAGAGAGAAAGAAAAGGAAAGAGGGAGAGAAAATCGTGGAAATCTGCGATTGAAATTGCAGGCCAGCCAACGTGGCGTATACTTAATTGCACTCAATATATCTATAAAGATATAGAGTGTATATATATATCAATATTTGTGTACGTCCATAAACGCTTTTAGCTGATTTATCTGATGCGTTTTTGGCCGGCACAAAACAAAGAGGAAAACTTTATTGGCCGAATTTTCTTGATCTTCAATGAAAATACTAAAGAAAATGAGGTTTATTTTCTTTTTAAATTTCTTTCATTTATATTTTTTATGCCAATTAAATTTTTTCTTTCCATTTAGCTGATAAGATTTAATGTTTCGATGTTTTACGATATCAATGAACTCGAAAAACGAATAATAATAATTATTTTAAATAATTTTTTGGGTTTCTGTTCAAAAAATACACGACATTATGGCGCTTTGTTCAAGTTCATGCCTGTGGTCAACGTGTCGTATGTAATATATATACTTGAATTATTTTGGGGGCATATTACGCATACGCCAGGTATGCACGGGCAGGTACAGATCAATGATCAAGAAGCCAATCAAGCGGAAGCTGAAAACCAATGCAAAACACACAAAATACGATACAAATCACGGCTAAGGACAAATTTTAGTAGTGACAAATTGATCTTATTCTCCTTCGATCGTTGATTGCTGTGGGTCTTTTTTGTTGTTGTTGTATTTTTTGGGGACCAATTTTCTTGGCAAGTGAATAATTGCTGTGCTGGCTTTCGTGGTCGTCGTCGTCGTCGTCGTCGTCGTCGTCGTATGTGCTCATCGTGCTTTATTTAGCCAGATTCACACAGAACAGCTGGCATTTGTTGCTTCCCACACAGACACACTTTCCTTGGGGGAGATTTTCCGGTTGATAAACAAAAAGTCTCATTTTTGTTTTCTTCTTATTTTTTAGGTGAAGACCACGCGGATAACCCATAACTATAGCAAGTCCGGCAATAACAGCTCCAGTACCTCCAGTACTGAGGTCAGCAGCTCCTCAGCACCAGTTACACGCACAACTTGTGACATCGAGGAGATTTGGGACGAGCAGGTCCTAAAGCAATTGGTAAGATATATGTTCTAATGATTAGTAATCTTCTGCCCATCAAAAAACAAAAAAAAAACCTAACAATCAAACACGAATCAATCAATCATCATAGCTGGAACAGGCGTCCACCTACGAGGAGCGTCGCAAAATCCGTGCACGTCTACGCGAACTTATGGCGGAACGCGAAGGTGAGTCCACAGCCCATTTATTTTCCTCTCTCTAACCCTAAATATTATAGTAAATATTATATATATACCCCAATGAATCCCAGCGGTTTAAGTTCTACTACAGCGACCCAAGGCAGCTCTCCAGGATCTCTCAATATCTTGTGTTCTGTATCTGTTTATCTTGTAGATAAAGCGCACAGCAACTAGGCACAGCTAGGCAGGCAAGGCCGCGTCAGTTATAGGACCAAAGTTTAAGCATTTTAGTCGACAGGTATATTGCCCGCACCATCAAAAGCGTTTTCATGTCCCCGTGTTTCAGTAACAGTCCCCAATTCTGTCGCGTTCCACACACAAATCGTTATCGTATTATCGTTTTAGAGCTAGGAATGTACATATATCGAAAACAAAAGTCCGATATGATGTACCGAAAAATATGTAGTTGATTTATCAAAATTTAAATTATTGAAAAATTATTACAAATAATGTGTGTATCCCAATTATATTGGCTCGATATATCAAGCAGAATATCAATTTATTGCACAAAAATCGAATTGTATATCGACTTTTGATTCAATATCGACTTTCACGTCAAATATCCTTACAATATCGATATTTTCTACCATAACATAGTTATCGTGCTATTGTTCTCTTACTATCGATCCAGTGCTATCGTTATTGTTCCATTGTTTATCTCAAATTCGTTGTCCTGTCGTCAAGTATTGTTTCAAAAACGTCATCGAATGATGGCTTCCTCACCGTTTCACGTCGAAGACCCACATAAAACTGGAATCGATACATTTAATATCGATATACCATTTCTTTTAGTTATTTTTTAATTGATTCTCTCCATACTCCATACTCTTTAAATAAAACCCACTTTGTTGACCCCTTAAAGGGAGGTTTATCAATCGATTCCAGCAAGTTTCAGACCCTACAGATCCTTTTATTCTTTGTATTGCTTGTTTTTTTGCGTTCGTTGTCGTTGCCAGTTTCTCTCTCTTGATGTCTTTATCCATCTATCCTTTATCTCTAAACTATCTCTCTCTCTCTAAACTAACTAAAAACAAAAAAAAAAAAGATCAAAAAAGCTCGAAGCAGGAGAAGGAGGAGGAGGAGAGCAGCGCCAGCGAGTATGAGGAGATCATCGAGGAGGTAACCGACTACAGCGACGAGGAGGAAGAGGAGCAACCGCCCAAGAAGGAGGAGCCCAAAAAGGAGGTGGCCAAGAAAGTGGTGACCCCAAAGGAGGTGACCACTAGCACCACCAAAAAAGAGGTTACCCAAAAGGCTGAGAAGAAGGAAACTGCCACCGCCACAGCCACCTCCACCAAGTCCACTAAAGTCGTCGAGAGTGTTGGCAAAAAGTTGGCCAAAGTTGAACTGGCCAGTAGCTCCGCCTCCACCTCCAGCACCACCACAGACGGTGTTGTCCAGGTGCAGGGTGAGTCTCTGCCTGCAGCACCGACCAAATCAGGACCAGCAGCAGCAGCAACAGCAACGAGCAGCAGTAGCTTAGGTAGTAGGAAACGCAGTAGTCTTAGCAGTAGCCAGGTTAGCACAGTGGTTAGGGTCAGGGACAAAGCCAACAGCACAGAGACAATGCCAGTCACGACGGGATCATCGCCATCACCATCATCACCCTCCGCTCCGGGAACGGCAACGACAGCCCGGCTTAGTGTTCCCTCGAAAGAGGACTCTGGCACGGAAAGCGGCGAGGATTTGCGCCTGCTGGCTGCTGGATTGCGGGACACCCTGCAGCAGCGCAGCAGCGGTAGTGATGCCAGTGAAGCCAATCGTAGTCTCGTCGAGGAAGTGACCGATGCCTTAAGCCGCCTGGAGAGCAGCCTGAAGCAGGGCAAAGAGCTGGCCGTCGACGGTGGCCAGCGGCAGGCATTGCTCGGCCTAGTGGCCCGCCTCCAGAGTGGACTCAGTGCGCCAGAGAAATTGGCCGACCAGAAGCCCACGTCCCAGGCCGAAGAAGTCGATCCAACGGCGGATAGTCCAGAGCCAGCGGAATCGTCCGACTGCCGGCAATCGCGTTTCGCCAAGCGACGTCAACGGAACAGTCGCCACACAGTGGGCGTGAGCAGAGAGGAACTGGCCGATGCCAGGCGCTATATGGAGGATATGCTGATGCTGGAGGGCAAGGAGTTTGCCCTGGCCAAGACGCCCAGCTCTGGGGCGGTAGGGCCAGCGCAACTCTACAGACCCAATCAGTTTGTGGCGGCACAACAGCAGCTGCAGCACCAGCAACAGGCACAGCCACAGCCAGAATCCCCCAAGGTTATACCAGCCGTAAGTCCCCTACAAAGTCCATCACAGCTTAGGCCCAATCCAACCAACAGGCGACCCCTGTCCGGGGATTATGCCGTAAGCTTTGCCAGCTATGAGGCAGCACAAAACTCGCAGAACTCGAGTCCCGAGGGAACTGGAACGTCGCCCAACTCGAACTCGCAATCCAACTCGAACTCGAATTCTAGCTCCAATTCCAGTCGCTTTGGCGGCGGCAAGAGGCACATGATGAAGCGAGCCAATACCATTGATATACCGAAGGCTAAGGCCAAGTATATGGCGGATTGTGACTCGGACTCGGATCTTGAGGATGATCAGGGTCCCCATTTGGGTCTCAAGCGGGCCGTCCAGGTGAGCGTCAAGCGACGCGTTCACAACGCTGTTCCGCCATTTGAACCGAAAACGGAGAACGATCACAAGTTTTTGGCGTTTATTAACAAGCAGAGTCACCAGACCGGTCTGGGTTGGGGCGGCAGTGGTGGCCGGAGTGTGTCCAACTGGACGCACAAGTTTGGCAACATTAAGCATACCTTTGAGACGGGTGCCGCGGCAACGGTGACCAAGGGTAAGCCACCGCCAGTGCCGGGTCATGTGCCCGGTTGGGCCAAGCAGGAGCAGATGCATCATCAGCAATTGCAACGAGAGCAGATGCAGCGAGAGCAAATGCAGCGAGAGCAGTATCAGCGAGAGCAGTATCAGCGAGAGCAGAGGCAGAGGGAACAGAGAGAACAAAGGGACTTTAAGCAGAGGGATCAAATCCAGCGAGAGCAGAACCAAAGAGAGCTTTCCAAACGTGAGCAATCCCAGCGAGAGCAACTCCAGCGAGAGCAATTGCAGCGCGAGCAGTTGCACCGTGAAAAGCTTCAGCGAGAACAGCTACAACGCGAGCAACTCCAGCGAGAACAGTTGCAACGCGAGCAACTCCAGCGAGAACAGTTGCAACGCGAGCAGCTTCAGCGAGAGCAACTCCAGCGAGAACAGTTGCAACTGCAACAGCAACAACAGGCCGCCGCCGCTGTACAAATCGAGCGGCAACGTCGCCAGGAACTGGAACGTCAACTGCGAATCGAGCAGGAAGCGCGCTACGAGCGAGAGGAACGCACTCGCCTGGAGCGGGAGTATTACGAGCAGCAACTGCAGCGTCAGCAGCAGGAGCGTCAGCAGCAGCTGGATCGACAGCGCCAGCAGCAAGAGCAACTCGAGCGTCAGCGTCGGCAGGAGATGGAGCTGCGACTGCAGCAGCAACGTGAACAGGCGGCCCAGGTCAACAACTTTATACATGCCCCACAGTCCGTCTTCCGGCCCATTGAGCATGAGACTCCCAGCCAGCCGGGCATCTACAAACCCATTGCCCAGAAATCTCAACCGAATCCGGCCATTTGGAAGCCACCAACGCAGCAGCAGCAGCAGCAGTTGCAAGCGCCACAATCGCAGCAACATTTGCAGGCCAGATCCGCAGGCACATCCTACAGCAATACACCCTCTCCCTCATCCACGGCGGCCACATCACCCATCGGCCTGCCCTGGGTGGCCAAGCCCAAGGTGGACAATAGCGATTTCCGTCGGAAGGCACACCACTTTGAAGAGCGCTCCCTGAGAGACAATTTAGAGCAGCAGCAGCAGCAGCAACAACAGGGACCCTCATATCATCCCAATGGCAATCATGTCTATCTGCAGCGACACAACTCCCTGCGTTCCAAGGCAGCACCACCGGCGTTGAGTGAGTTTAAAAAGCGGCCATCCCTGCCCAATGCCATGGACCCTGGGGTGGCACCATCCCATCCGCCCCATCATCAGCAGGCTTATCAGGCTCCACCGCCGCCCACGAATATCTCCTTTACCTATGCCGATTTTCCACCAGTTAGGCGACATGCCGGCGCCAGTGCCCATAATTATCGTAGTCAGCCGTGTCTGACGAGTGCCGTGGAGCAGGCCGAGGCACTGACCAATCCCCTGGCAGCTCCTTTGGTTCTAACCAGCTCCAATCCCACCTACCTGCCGCCGCCGTCGTCTCAGTCGCAGCCGACGAGGAGATTCGATTACATTAGCAGTCCCATAGATGTGGATGCCGAGAGTCCGCCGAATAGTCCCACCAGCTTTATGACCATGCCAAATCCCGCTTTGATGACGGACAACACGGACGATGATCTCGATTTGGATTCGGACAACAATATGCTAGAATATCGTGCCGAAACCAAGGTGATGAGGAAGCCACGCAGCCAGACTGCAGTAAGAGTGGCGGATCGTAGGAATGCCCATATGAGCGATGATGAGGTCTATGGTCGGAACTCGAGGGCGGCCAAGTCGTTGCTATACACCATGAAGCAGCTGGGACCGGGAGCTCCAATTAGCGGTGGAGGAGCAGGAGGAGGAGGAAGCGGTTCTAACCACCATCATCACAAGAGGCAACCTTTGACGGCTCCGAGTTCTCCAAAATCGGGTTGCTTGTCACCCGATGGACGTCAATATCAGGCTCCGCTTGTGGAACCACTTTTCCCGCAACTAAGCACCTTTGAGGCCAAGCGGCAACCGCAGTTTACACCGAATACGCCACCGGCAGGGCCACCACCGATGAATTATCAGGCGAATCCCACCTATACGCCGCCCAGGACTCAGACCCAGAGTCAGGTTCAGGATAATGCTAGCTCTTATTTGGGTGAGACTCAAACCTCGTATGTGGTGACCTATCCTGTGGAGGATTCGGGCGACGAACCCGAACCCGAGTCTTTGGCCATGTCGTTGAGTCACCAGCAGCAGCGTTTGCGCCGCACCTCGGAGCACTCGAATGCCAGCTCCTCGCTATCACTGGGCAGCACTAGCTGGACAGCAAATCCAGTACATAATACGGTTACCGGATCGGTTGCTGGTTTGGTACCGGGATCAAGTCCGGCTACTGGATCCTCGATTTCTGGATCACTTGCTGGATCAATTCCTGGTTTGATGCCAGTCTCTGTACCTGTAATTTCCACAGGACCACCAGTGGATCGTAGCACAAAGCCACAGTTAAGTCAACCAACGGGCAAGAAGGTGGGAAATCAAGGGCCTCAACAGGTGCCTCATCAGTCTCAGCAGGTGCCTCAGCAGTCTCAGCAGGTTCCTCAACAGCCTCAGCCAGTGCCTCATGGAATACCTCACCCGAAATCTCACGAAATACCTCACTTACCACAGCAAGTGCCTCAAGGAATGCCTCACCAAAGGCCTCAGCAGTTACCCCAACAGTTACCAAAACAATTACCCCAACAACTACCCCAACAGTTACAGCAACAGCTACCCCAACAACTACTCCAACAGGCACCTCTAACCACCAACAACAACAGGCCCAAGTTAAGCACTCGAAGCCATACCATTCAAGGTGACAACAGCTATGAGAATCGTCCTCTACAGAATCGTATAATGTCACAGCAAACCCTCATCACCAGTAACTCCAACTCTACACAGAAGTTCCAACAGCAGAAGGAGCACATAAGCGAACTGCGTCGCAAGAGCCTAGGCAATGTCCTGGAGAGCAGCCAGCGTAGTGCCTACTTTGAGCAAGAGTACAAGTCCTCGGCGCCTTCAGACACACCTGACATAGTCAAGTCTTCGCTGCCCAAGGAAGATGCGCCGCTTCTTAAGAAATTTGGACCACCTCAGCGTCATCATTATGTGCCCAATGCGTATCAGAGTCCGCAGCTGAACAAGCAGGGGGGCAGCAGTAGTAGCACCACTATAACCAGTAGTACCTCCAGCACAACCACCGTGGTCCAACAGCAGAACAAGCCCAGTATAGTGGAAACCCCGGCAACGCCACAGCCTCAAGTGCCACCCGAGGACGAGATACCCCACAATATAGTCTTTAACAACGTAAGCGCCTTTACCTCGCTAAGCAGAAGGAATCTCACCGAAGAGGATCACCATCAACAGCAGCACGGATCACGGGTTAACCGATTAAGTAAATGCGATTCCTGGAATCAAATCTGTCAGCTGCAGACCAGTCCCAATCCCAGTGCCAAGTATAATCAACCCAATGCCGCCAGCAGCTCTTCGCCCGGCGAACTGAGACGCACCAAGTCCGGCCATTCGCTGGCCGTGCCCAAGCTGTACGAGGCGGGCATAGACAAGTCCCAGGTTAGCGAGAAGCAACGCACCGTGGCGGCCTATTTCTCGGGACAAAAGTCACCCAACCAAATGGAGGAGCTGCGTTCCACAACCACATCCATAACGAGTAGAAAGTCTGCGATAAATCGAACCAAAACCAGCGAGAAACTATCGGCAGCGGCACGTAAATCGCTAAGTTCCCTGACGACCACCTCCAATGGCAACATGTCATCGGTGGGACTGGGCAGTAGTAGTAGTAGCATGATGCAGCAGCAGCAGCATCAATCCTCCTCGATGATGATGGGCGGTGGCCTCAGCCGGAGTGCCACCATGCCGCACATAGCCAATCTGAATTTGCTGGACGAGAGCAATGTGGAGGATGCCTTCGAGCAGCTAATGATGGGTGCCTAAAATCTCCTGCCAAATCCTGTCCAGCCAACCAATCAAGTCATGTCAAGTCAAGTCAAGTCAAGTCAAAACCCGTCAAGAATTTAACACATAAAAAAAAGAGGCATTCCAGTTCCGAAAACTGGATGAAAACCAAGAGAAAATCATCATAAAAAAGATCAATTTAATAAAAGAAAGAGACAAAGTCGAAATCGATATCGAAAAGGGTTTGATAAACGATAAATATAACTGCGAAACGGCAAAAACTGTACTGATTAATGTTTACTGATATTTACAAAAATGAAAAGAAAACTACTGTTGAGTCTAGAATTAGCTTTTGTTTTTTTAATAATTCTTTTTTTTTTTAAGAAAAGTCTTTTTCCGAGTTTGAAGAAGCAGTTAGATAAAGCAGTTTTGAAAATAGCAGTTAGAAAAAGCAGAAATTAACATTTAAAAGCAGAAATATATGCGAAAATAAAGGAGGGACCCGGCGGTTTCTATTTGTTTTTATTTTTAACCGCATTAATTAATCGAAATAAAATAAAATATACAATTTAACGAAAATGTTTGCTGCTCGGTGTCCCAACTGAAATAAGAAACAACAAACAACAAGAAGCAACAAACAAACAAACAACAAAAAAGAAAGAAAGAACAACAATAACAGCAACAGCAACTTGATCAATAATTCAGAGATTTGTGAGTTGAATTCAAAAAAATAAATATATATATTTTTATATATCAGAACTGTACAGAGAATGCCAGCCGCCCCTTTTTTTTCTTAATTTTTTATTATTTCTTGCCAGCGCCCCCTTGCTATGCCTTTAAAATAAAACCCAAATAAATACATAAAAAACATTGCATACCGCCCAGCAGCAGCAGCCTAACAGCATAAAAAAAGAAACAGCACACACACACACACAAGCACAATATAAGAATTTTCTAAAAAAAAAAATTAAAAATAAAAAACACAATTAGGTGACAATTTTAGACTTTTATTAAATAAATAACAAGCAAAATTGAAATAATTTTGTAGGAACCCAAAAATAGATATATTTTTTACAATATAATTTGGGGCATTTACTTGCAACCTCTTTTCTAAATAAAAAATAAATAAATGTTATAAATAAAATTATAAATAAATTTTAAACAATTTGAACAATTTTAAATATATTTCATTCATATTAATTGATATCTTTAATAATTAAAATAAATATATTTTAAAATTCTTAAACAATTTCAAAATGATTTCATTGTTATTAAGAAGGTTCATAAAGAGAAGTTCTAGATATTTTTGAATATTAAATAATTTGAGATACTTTAAACTATGTGAATAGGAGTCGAGTTAGGAAGTCTGAATAATATAATATTAACTTAATTTTTGAGGTTTTTTTATTATCAAGATTCTTAATCAAAATCAAATGAAATTTTAAAATATTTTTTAAGATTTCATTATTTTTTATTCCGTAAAAAGCTGAACTTTGCTTTTAAATTTTCTTAAAACAAAATTAAAAAAGGAAAATGTTTCTTTATTAATAAAACAAACAAAAAATATTTAAAAATATAAAGCATACAAAAAAAAAACAAGAAAAAGATAAAAAAGTTTAAGTTTTAAGTTTTTAAATAAATATAAATCCAAATAATAATAATAAACCATAATGCCTTGATTTCCATAAGCAAAAATATTCGGTTTTCTCTTTAAAAAAAATTAATAATATATTTATACAATATTTCTTTAGCTTTGTGTTTATTACATGTGTGCGTGTGGGTGTTTGTTTTTTTTTTCTCTTCTTGTATATATTTGTTATTGCCTTAAAGTTGTTTTCACTTGGCCGATAAAAAAAGTGTGGAGATTAGCGCTTATCCTTTTACCCCATTTGACCTATTCCCCTGTTACGTTCTGTTACGTCCAGTTACGTTTTTTTGTTACGTTTTTGCTCTTTTTCTCGTTCGTTCGTTTCGTTAGTTGGTTGATTGATTGATTGATTTATTGACTGGTTGATTGGTTGGTTGGTCAAGCAGGAAAACAAAAATAATAATAAAAATAATAATTTAAGAAAAAGGAAGAAAACGGAAGCAGCAAAGAGAAACCCCAAATGTTGTCCCTCCTTTAATTTGTTTTTGTTGTAAACCAGACACTGTTTTTCTCTCTCTGTTCCCCTCCTTGTAAATACACTGTAATATATATAGTATTATATATTGTTTATATATATATTTACATAACACCGCCCAAAGATGAGATGAGGAAACAGTTTTTCGTTTTTTGACTAGTTTTTTGGTTCATTTTTTTTCTTCCGTGTCTATATATTTTTTATTGTCGACAGCGCTCTCTCTGTTTGCTGCTGATCTGCTCCTGTTCCCCCACGTCCCTTCGATTTTAAAGCATGATTTTTTAGTTAGTTGTTACTGTAAATACCCACCAAGTTGTATATAAAAATTGTGCATGACTTGTTTATACCCTGCATTTACATTACATTACCCTTTTTTATGACACAGAAGAGAAGTATGTACAAAGAGAGTTGAAAAGAAATGTAATTGGAATTATTAAACAAAAATTATTTATGCCAAAAATATGTTTATTAAAAAAGGCTTTAATTTAGTTATAAGTATTGTTTTCATTTAATTTTTATTTAAAGATCAATTTTTATTAAAAAAATTTTTTTTTTTTTTACAAATTTACATTGAAATTTTAATGTTATAGAATTGATACTATTTGAAAAATTTATATTTTATATATTATAGAAAAATTCGTATTAAATCAGAAATAATTTTATGGTGCTAGTTAAGCTTAAAATAATGTTTCATTAGCTTTAACAGCCGAGTTAATCTAGCTATTTCAGCGAAAAAAAATCTATTTATTCCAATTTTTCAAAATTTTAAATTTAAAAATTGTCAAAAATATATTAAAAAAAACTATATACATTTTTTAAAATTTAAAACTCATTTCCAAATTTATAAATATTAAAACGTATTTATTTAAGAGAATTTTTACCAAATCTTCTATAAAACGTAATAGTTGTATATATAAAATAAATAACAAATCAAGGTAAAATTAATTTATTGCCTAAAAATATAGATAAATTAAAGAATAAAGAATTGAGTATAAATATATTAAATTGAAAATAAATTTAAAAACGATTTTTAAATCCTCTTTTCAAGTCTCTTCTCTTCTGTGCTTAGTTAAAAATACATAAATAAAATATATGTCATAAAATGGGTTTCAATGCCAACACCAGCACCGTCACACAGTCATTGCCACACCAATAGCGGCGTTTTTTTCGGATTGTTTTTTGTGCGTATCCTTAGAGCCGTTCCTTTAGTTGAAAAACAAGGAGTGTGAACACGCTTAAATAATGCCAATGCATTTCTTTAATTATATATTTTATATTGTTATTTGTGTAGGAAAACAAATGAATTTTTTGTGCTGTGTTGTTTTCCATTAGTTTGTACATTTTTTTTTTTGTGCCTGCCCAGATACAAAACACAAAAAAAAACAAATAATTATAAACAAAAACCCTTATTATTATTTTTCGTAATTGTAATTGATTTTGTGCATGGCCCCAAATAACTAATCAATGTAATTTGTTTGCTTTTCTTTTTTCTTCCACCTGCTGCTACAAAAAAAAATAAATAAAAAAAAAAACGAAAACCGCATCCCTAAAAAACTCTATTCACACAGCAGCAGCTGCCCAGCAGAAGAGCTCCACGACCAGCGAACAGCGAACGGAAACCAAGTCCAAGGATGGCGGTGCCACTGTGACCACAACAACCACAAAGGGTGAGTCCCAATCTCCCTCTATAGACTCCCGTTTTAACTTTATTTTTTATTATTAATTTTATTAAATATAATTAATTAATTTTCTCATATTTTCTCTCCCTCGCAGTCACCACTCGCACTGTTAGCGGCAACGCCGCCTCCAAAAACATCTCGCCCTTGGCCAAATTCAAGCAACTGGACAAGCAGGCAGCTGCCCAGCAGGCCCAAAAGTAAGTCCAATTTGTATCAAAGAGCATCCAGAAAATATCAAACACACAACATACATATATACTATACCATAAATGTACATGGTTTACACACTCAGAAAAACTCATTACACAACCGACAACATTTGTGCAGGTCGAACTTTTTGGATTGGAGAAGCAAAAATAATAATAAAAAATATTAAAGTTTAAAACCAGTGTTGTTAAAATAAATACGTAAAAAAAAAAAATTTTATGAAAAGTTTTTCAGTTAAATAATAAAAAAATAATACCTGTTTTATGATTGCCTCTCCAATACACTCTTGCACTCCCACACACACACACACACACATACATAAGTAAATCAATTGGTTATCGGTGCATCTAGCACACAGACACACAATATTTATAAACAATACATGCACAATCTTCACCTTCACTCCTCCTTTTAACACACACACACACACATCGATCCTCTGGTGTTGGTTCTCTATGGAAGTGTGTTTGTAGTCGTGTCCTTAAAAACAACCAAGATTTGTGATTAAACGATAGATGTTGATGATCGATAAATACGATATACAATAATTATCAAACCGGGATAGGATAGTCGACGAAAAAATTCGATAAATGGACGAATGGCCAATATCCATAAATCTACAAATATTATTTAGATATCGATATATTAAAATTCGATAAATATCGATTACGGATCGATACCAGAGAGGAAAAGAGTGTTGTACATAGTCTATTCACCTGTCCTGTCGTCTAGCTCTTGTTTTTAATTTTAGTTAGTCTCTGAAAACTGTCCCTCCCCCTTTTCTCTCTTTTTCTTTCTGTCTCCCTCTTTGTTTTTGCCTTTCCTTGTGTTTCTCTACGTCTAATTAATTTAATTATTTACAAAAAACCAAAGACAAGAACGAAAAAACAGACAGAAAAATTAAAATAAAATAAAACAAGAATATATATATAAATATTTATACATTTATACACACACACCCACGTCCACAAATAATAATAAAAAAAATAGAAGACACAGAGAAAATAAGAAAAAATTTAAGAAGATTATGAAGAAGATTATGAACCCGATTAATAATTACTTTTGTGTGAGTTTTTCGCTAAAACGTCTGCAACCCTCCAACCTTGACTCATTTCGTTCAGATCATCTCCAACAACAAGCACACCCACGACCCCCGGCGGTTCGGCACAACCGTATTTCAAATTTACCGATCCGGCATTAAATGCGCGCGCCGCCACTGTCAAGGATCAACTTCTGCAGTGGTGTCAGCATAAAACGCAGGAATATGAGGTATCCAAAACCTAAAAAAAAATTACAAAAAAAATAAACCCAAGACCAAAAGCCCTAAAAAAATTAATTGCAAAATGCCGAAAGCCTTAGTTATTGTTTTTGTTCATTTATATTAATAAATTAACATTTTACAAATCAAAATATAGCAAAACGCTAAAAAAGAATCACTCAGTATTTATATTTATATTTCGTAAAAAAAAATTAATGAATAATTTATCGGATAACAATATCGACATTTTATTATGAAATTCTATATTTTACGTTATTAAAAATTAAAATTTTATAGAGTTTACAAAATGTTGTATACATTTTTTAAAAACGATACTACAAATTTTCAATGTATTAAAAAAACATGAAAGCCACATAATTGTTCTTGAATAAGATTCATTTATATTAAATAAAATTAAAATTTAATAATTAAATAACGAAATATTCCTTGATTTTTAAGCCTTTGCCATTATTTTGATTGTAATTAGGAAAAACAAGAAAAGAAGCTAACTTCGGCACGCCGAAGTTTGTATACCCTTGCAGATTGGTTTTGATGTTTATATTATAGATTTAAATGCTGAAAACACACACAAAACAGAGTTTCATTACATTTTACCTATACTTATTATGTTTACAGTTTGACAGTTACAGTTTTACATTCCCAGCTTTACATTTTCTCTACATTTACCGATCGTTTATATGGCAGCTATATGATATAGTTGTCCGATTTTCATAAAATTTTTACCAAAATTCTGAAATAATAAAAAAAGCTTATCTCTTTAAGTAGATCAGAATATGTTGAAAAACAACGAAGTTATAATTTTTTTTCCTATTCATTTGCCGATCGTTCCTATGGCAGCTATAAGATATAGTCGTCCGATTTTCATAAAATTTTTACCAAAATTCTAAAATAATATAAAATGGCTATATCTCAAAAATGATGCAAAAATATTGAAAAACAGCAAAGTAATAATTTTTTTTCTAAAAATTTATCGAACATTTGTATGGGAGCTATATGATATAGTCGTCCGATCCGACCCGTTCCGACATATATAGCACTGAAAGTATATAGAAGACTATATGCAAAGTTTCATTCAGATAGCTTTAAAACTGAGGGACTAGTTTGCGTAGAAACGGACAGACGGACAGACGGACAGACGGACGGACAGACGGACATGGCTAGATCGACTCGGCTGTTGATGCTGATCAAGAATATATATACATACTTTATAGGGTCGGAAACTTCTCCTTCACTGCGTTGCAAACTTCTGACTGAAATTATAATACCCTGCAAGGGTATAAAAATCCCAGAAAAAACCTACAATATTGTAATTTTATTCTTTACTAGTTGCCGTTTTGCCCCACTGTTATTTTTTGAGTGTCGTCAAATATTTTTATAGCATTTTTTTTAACAACAAAATCTAACGAGAAAAAAAACAAGCCAAACAATCAACAAGAAAAACTTCTAACAGCGCTTAACTTTGGCTTGAAAGCTTAATCAAAAACTCATTAAAATACACACAAACAAAAACACTCAGACACACACTCAAACACACACACTCAGACACAACACGCACGAATTGACAGATGTAGAGCCATTTCCGTTTCCGCTTTCGCTTCGCCAGAGCTTAATTAAATGCAGCAGCCTAAAGGGATGGCAGAAAATATTTATATATTTTGAGACTGGTTCGATAAAAAATCGAAATTTTAACGTAATGTTGTACAAACAAATCGATATCTTGTTTAAGCAGAAAAGAGAAACAGAGTAACTTACATTTCTCTGATATTTTTCAATAAATCGATATTTGTAGTTTTAATTCGATGATTGAATTCTCGATTTATTACATTTTACGAACATTTTGACAAACCAGATTATTTATTGTATCAGAATGAATTTCGATATTTTTCTATTTCGATGTTTTTCGATATTTCAATTTTCGATTTATTAAACTTTACGATAATTTCGATATTATATCGAGAACCAGGTTTTCTATTGCCATTATTGTATCAGATTTTTCGTCTATTCCCAAGCCTGAGGCGCTGCAGCGTTTACAAAATTACAGCTTTTACCGCTTATCGCTAGAGTTACGGCCGCTGTTGTTGTTGTTGTTGCTATTTTAGACCTCTGAAACTCACTAGCTTTTAGCTTACTCCTATTCTAAGTTGTAGTGCTGCTTTTGCTCTCTCAAGGGACCATTAAACGAGACCCCCCGAAAAATGCCATAAAATCAGCCAAAAAAAAAGAGAATATATTTATCCATCAATAAGTATATATAATATATATATTAACATAATTTATACATATCCTGTGTCCACAGAACGTCCAAATAAGCAACTTTAGCTCGAGCTGGTCAGACGGCCTGGCCTTTTGTGCGCTGATACACCATTTCTTGCCAGATGCATTTGATTACACAAAACTAACCAAGCAGACGCGCCGACACAACTTTGAGCTGGCCTTCAGCGTTGCTGAGTAAGTATAAATATATTTTATATATTTATATATATATATTTAATACTCTACCTTTTTGCAGTGAGAAGGCTGGCATAGCACCCTTGCTGGACGTGGAGGACATGGTGGAGATGAGTCGCCCCGACTGGAAGTGTGTGTTTGTCTACGTGCAGAGCATATATCGCCGGTTCCGCAACTGCCAGTAGTATCTGGCTATATATACTTTATATATTAGATCCCATCAAGCTAAAGTCCAAGTCAACTCAACAGCAGCAGTAACTCAATATAAATTTTAAGCATACCTCTCAAAACCCCTTTTGGCATTTCGTGTTGGAACGCACACTAACCCGTAATCTCCAGATATACACATATATATATATATAAATATTTATCAGCAAGTCAAGACCCAACTTAAGATCCTGCAAATATCTAACTGTATATTTCGTTCAGCGCAAGGCTATCGTCGAGCATTATGACTCAGCCGACTCATTTAACACTTTGTACGTTTTTTGTGTTTTGTTTTACTTTTTTTTGACCATTATTATTATTATTACGATTTACGCATTATTATCTTTTTGTTATCGAACTTGAAGCAGAAACTTGTGCATTAATTGTTATTTTTATATAATATTATTATTATTATTATTATTATTTTGTCATAATTTTAATTGTGGAGAGAAGAAAGAAGCAGTGCTGTTACTAACCCCTGCCTGGCGGTCATCGGTTCAAGGAATAATATATGGATAATGGATGATAATCCTCAGCTTCTATACGACCCGGTGCCGTCGCTTACATTGATGAATTACTGTAATAATAAACATATATTCTATGTACGTACGTGTAACGAGAACGAAACATTTACTAACCGATGGCATTATTGAAAAGGCCGCAAAAAGAAATCAAGATAAAAAAACAAGCAAATCAATATCAAAAGTTTATTTACTTACGGGTTTTTTTAAATGGAAATCTTTTACAGAAATGTTTAAAAATAAGAGAAATAGAAAAAAAATTGAATTCAATTCTTAAATTTTTGCTCAGAAACAACAGAACAGCAGGCGGCGTCTAGCGACTTGTTAGAATATCGGTGGAAGTCTAATTTTGTGGTTTTATGTACAACAAAAAAATGTCTCTGAAAAATTCGGTGTAGAAATTCGTAGTTTCAAATTTTTCTTCGTCACTCAAGCACACACACACCCCTGGGCAAAGCCGTAGTCGGCAGCAGCAGCATCCTTGACATCCTTGGCCTCCATAGCATATATAGCATACACGCAGGAAACATGTCAGAGTCGCAACCGGATCCGGAAACCCAGCCACAGAACGTCCTCTCGGAAGCCTCGACCATACGGCTGCTCAGCGATGTGGCGGCGGTGGCCACCCACAGCTGTTCGCCGGAAATGGGAGCGGGATCCACCCAGTCTCCAGCCTTGGACAGGATGCTGCCACCAATCACCAGAAACTTGTCACAGGAGGAGAGCATCCATTCGGCTAATGAGAATGGCCACTCGTGCCGCATCTGCCGGTGGAATCGCAGCGACATGGAGATCATCAAGTGTCCCTGCACCTGCAAGGGCAGCGTGGTAAGTGGGTGGTGGGTGGCCTGCTTTTGTGACCCTGTGCTCTAGGTGACCCTCTTGCAGGGCTTCATTCACATGAAGTGCCTCAAGCGCTGGATAATGCACAAGCAGAGTAATCGCTGTGAGATCTGTCATGCGGTCTTCGACATCTCGGAGGATCGGGCCAGCCTGAAGCAGATGGTGAAGACCTTTTGCTGCCACCGGTGCTGTGGCCTGATCGTGAAGCATCTGTTGTTCAGTGCGTCCCTAATGCCGCTGGCCAACATTATCCTGCAGCAGGTGAGAGCCCGGATTCAGTTAAATTCAACAAAAGTAATTCGCGAAAGTAAAACAATATCCCAGGTGCTGCACTGCATGGATAATCTTAACCAGGGCAATGCCGAGCAGCTCACCGTCAGGGAGGTGATTGTGGCCTCTGGGACACTGCTTACCTCCAGCGTTCTGTTCTTCAACTTCTTCGAGTTCGTCACCACGCGCGGGCTCCTGATCCGGAATATCCTGCGCCACTGGTGGTTGTTCGGCAGCACCTCCGACTTTGCCCTGGTGGAGCCCGAGGACGATGCCATTGATCTCTTCTAACCCATATCCACCAAAAACACGTTGCCTGCCCGATTTTGAATCCGCCAATATTCAATAAAGTCAACGATTTTTCTAACATCGAAGTCATACATTTTTAAAATCGATAAGTCGTGGCGGGTTATAGCTGTAAAGTCATCGATAACGTTTTCATTAAAGATTTATTAGTATTACCGCACATTTGACGATTGCATTTAAATCTAGTACTTTTTACGGTTAAGTGGTATTATTTATCGCTATCGCCACACAGCTCATGTGCCATGGGTACCCAACCGATAATCACTATCGGCCAACGATATTAACGACATCGAAGTTTTGACAGCTCTATCGCGTGGCTGTGTGTGCATCTTTTTCAAGGCAAAAAGAAAAACAAAAAGCAGTACGCCAATCTGCAATTTAAACAAAATCCAAACAATTGCTGTGGGCAGTGAGGCACGCGTAACAACGGTAGCATTCGTAAAGCTGCATTTGCAGCAGCAACAGCATCAGCAGCTGGGCAGTAGCAGCGCAACAACAACAACAAAGAGCTGTTGGCAGCGACGTCGGCTGAGCGCTGGCTGCGGGCAAAGAAAGGAAAACCGAAAGCCAGAGAAGGCGAAGAACGCCTCAAAAGAAAGTGAAGTGAAGTGAAGTAAAGTGCGAAACCCACCACACACACAAACGCAGAAACCCGACTTTTCAGGCCTAGCTCGGCCGCTGCGATTGCAACGGTATTTGTCTTTTTGTTTTTCGGTTCGCCTTCTCTTGAATTCTGTTGTTTTTTTTTTATTCGTGTCTTATTTCGTTCACGCGGCACGTGTGCGAATATTTGTACACTTTCGGTGTTTTTCTTTTCTTCTGCACACAACAAAGTGAATACTTGTTGCAGAGTGCCACGCCCTCCCCTCTCCTCAGTCGCCAGCGATCGAAAGCAGCGGCTGAGCGCAAGAGCCAGTGCCAGTCCCCGCGCCCGCTCCCCAATCCCTTTCCCGTGCCAGCGCCAGAGCGAGAGGTAAAGCACGCAACGGAGATGGAGAACCAGCAGCTCCTGACTTTGATGGCCAACACGCCGCGTGCCTTGTACGACCTGTCGCTGCAGGCCCTAATTGGCAGTATGGACACCAAGGTGCCGGCGCTGGACAGGATCAGTCGACTGCCGGAGTTACCGCGCAACCTGCTCATCGATGCCTACGAAATGGTGAGTGTGCTGTGTGCGTGTAAAGACACGCACGATCATTATCGAATTCTTGGAATATGAAAATTAAAGAGAATCCAAGTTTTCGATTTTAAATCGATAAACTTTAATAATTTGCTAGCTTAAATCGAAAAGAACATTTTGTTTTCATTAATTTTTATTAAAATTTAAATAACTTTCACCTTAGCAAAAATTAAACTCTTGGCTTATCTTTAGGAAATTGCTGTTACCACTTTTATTCCATAAAAACCATAAATTTCAAGGTAACACGTTAGTCTATCGTTGAACGATTTCCAGTAATTTAGTCAAGTGTTTTTATTATTATTTTTGTTTAGAATCCAATTATGATACCAAATTTCTGCGTAATGCAGCTTTTCCGTCACCGATCATCATATTATACCGATTACAGCACTTGTTGGGGCCGCCACCGCTTATCGCGAACTCCTCCTCCTGCCTGCCCCCCCTTTGGTATACATATGTTTATAGATATTTCGCCACTGGCAATTACCATTTTCTCATACATATTTCTCTCATTATCAGGGCTATGTGGGGGTATAGTAACTTGTGTCTGTTTGTGTTTACTTTTCCGCTTAAGTTGTTTACACCCTCCCCAGCTTTCTCAGCCTCCTCAGCTCATTAACCCTAGACGTGAGAGATGGGTCCTTCAACGAGAAATTGTCCGATTAAATGTGATTAACACCTTGAGAAATCGCTGTGTTTTTTTATACCCTTGTATTATAATTTCAGTCAGAAGTTTGCAACGCAGTGAAGGAGTCGTTTCCGACCCTATAAAGTATATATATTCTTGATCAGCATCAACAGCCGAGTCGATCTAGCCATGTCCGTCTGTCCGTCCGTCTGTCCGTTTCTACGCAAACTAGTCCCTCAGTTTTAAAGCTATCTGAATGAAACTTTGCATATAGTCTTCTATATACTCTCACTGCTATATATGTCGGAACGGGCCGGATCGGACGACTATATCATATAGCTGCTATACAAATGTTCGATAAATTTTTAGAAAAAAAATTATAACTTTGCTGTTTTTTAACATTTGTGCACCATTTTTTAGATATGGCCATTTTATATTATTTCTGAATTTTGGTAAAAATTTTATGAAAATCGGACGACTATATCTTATAGCTGCCATAGAAACGATCGGAAAATTAATAGGAAACAAATTATAACTTCGTTGTTTTTCAACGTATTTTCATCTACTCTGAGATATAAGCTTATTTTATTATTCTAGAATTTGGTATAAATTTCATGAAAATTGGACAACTATATCATATAGCGGCCATAGGAGCGATCGGTAGATGTAGAGAAAATGTGAAGGTGTGAATGTAAAACTGTAACTGTCAAACTGTAAACATAATAAGTATAGGTGAAATGTAATGAAATAATATCTGCAAGGGTATACAAACTTCGGCGTGCCGAAGTTAGCTTCTTTTCTTGTTTCATTCTTATTTTGGCTATGAGTTTAGTAGAGAAAATAAAATAAAATTATTAATCGATAAACTAAAACATAGAAAAAGTATTAAAAATCTATTTTCCACTTGAATCAATTTGTATGATATTGAAAATATGCAGAAGAATCCGATTTATTTATATTTTTATTTAACGTTTCAAGAACTCTTTCATAGATATACCTCCTATATACACATATTAATCAAATCTAAGCAACTAAACTCCAGGCTTTATTGCTGGATTTTCTCATTTTGGGGAAAAACACAGGCCAGAGTCACAGGTGGTTGTCCAATTTGGCTTCCATATACATCGCTATGCTCTGTACACACACATGTACATGTATTGTCATATAATAAGCGGAGAGCAGCGGGGCTATTACGGTGTAAATTATTATAAACAAAAGCGGCGACAATGAGGAGCGGGTCTAAAAATAGCAAGTCAACCAGTCCATGGCCTGGGGAGGGTGAAGGAATAGAAGGCTGGAAAGAGAGCTGGATCAGATCGGATCAGCGCCCTTTGATTGTCCTGTTCTCGCTCTTCACTAGACCTTGCCGAGAAGGGGAGACATTGAACTTGCTGATAATGGCTAAGCATATTCCATTGTTCGTTGATTTAATGTGTGCGGTTGCTCCTCTCTAGGGATGGTGGGGATATTAATATATCGACAATATAGAGGGGATTTTTATCACGAAGTAAATCGATTTTTTCCGATAATTTAAGATTTATAACAGAACAAAAATTATAATTAAATATAAAATAAAAAATAAATAAATAATGTATTTCATAATTGAAAAAAATCGATTAATCGATCTCTAATAAAATTTTGATTATAATTCAATAATACCGATATTTACGATATTTAAACATTAAATATTTAAATTTAAATATTTCAAATTTTACGTTATTTTATATATTAATATATTTATATATTATTTTTTCGCTTTCCCCCTCCCTCAGATGTCACAGAAGGAGTTGTTGAAGGACACCTTACTGGAGGAGCTGTCCTGCTTAGATGTCTTTTTGCGACTCGTTCGCTATGCACCGGCCCGCAGCAAACTGTTGCGTATTGTGGCCTCATTGATGGCCAGCAATAAGCTGATAGCCAGCCGCCTATCCGAAGCCTTTGTCTCCCGCTACAGTGTCCAGGCCGATGAGGATCAATCGGATCAGGAGGCACAGGCACAGCATTGGCTTGGCCAATATCAGAATCAGAAACAGAATGAGGAAAGCGAAAACCAACAGCGGGACTGCAGTATGCACATATATGATGGCGAGGATACTAACAGTAACAGTGCCGCCTGTCCGACGAGTGAAAGGATTGCTGGTGATGAGGAAAACCAAAGCAAACTTAATGTGATCGTTCCCGCCGCCGCTGCCGATGAAGCCTTAGAAGAGGAGCTACCCGTCGAGGAGCTGCAGGCCATTGATCTGGGCCTGCGCCTTGGCTCCTTCCTGTCGGAGGCAGGTTGGATGCAGGAGAGCATATCTGTATTGTCGTGCCTCAATGCAAGACTGAAGCACCTGCCGCGCCACAGACACTGGCTCGTTATGCGCCTGGACTGCCTGCAGCGGTAATTGATAAAATCCACACTCTTTTCCAAAAAAACATCTTTTGATTTATTTGTTCTTTTCTCTTTTTTGTAGCCTCCTTTATGCCGAATCGGCGCACTGCAACTTTAAGCTGGCAAAACGCACCTATGACGAGCTCATCTCACTGAATCACCTGTTGAGCAACAAGGTGCCACAAGAGCTGATCGCCATGACCTATAGCCAGATATCGGTCATGTACTTTGCCCGCAATGAGTACAACTTTAGCCACAAGTGGAGCGGTCTGGCCATGCGCATGCTGAAGGTGTCAGCGCCGCCGCGGTGAGTCTCTGGTGTCTCACTCTTAACCAAAAAACTTGTGAATCGTTGGACTTATCTGGTGGATCTCTCTCTCTCTCTCTTTTGCAGCATTGCCATCGATGTGCTGCGCCAGGCGGCCAAGGCCTGTGTGGTTAAGCGGGACTTTGCCCGGGCCAATCTGCTCATATGCCAGGCGCTGCGACGGGCTCGGTAAGCATGCATGCATGCGGTTGTCTCTCTCTTTTTCGCTGTATCAATATTGATTGATATTATTTACGACATACATATAGCACACACTTTGGGCCAACGCATCAGAAATACGGCGATACCCTCCTCGACTACGGTTTCTTCCTGCTGAACGTAGACTCTGTATTCCAATCGGTGAAGGTCTACAAGGAGGCCCTGGCCGTTCGACGCGGCATCTTTGGCAATATGAACTTTCATGTGGCAATTGCCCATGAGGATTTGTCGTATGCCTACTATGTCTATGAATATAGCACCGGTGACTTTAGCTGTGCCCAGGATCATGTCGATAAGGCTGTGAAAATCATGAAGGATCTGGTGCCGAGCAATCATCTCATGTTGGCATCCGCGAAGCGTGTCAAGGCTCTGCTGCTGGAGGAGATTGCGCTGGATAAGATGGCCGATGGTATGGATGAAGAGGATTTGCTATTGCAATCGGAGGAGCTGCATAATTTTGCATTACTACTCTCGCTGGAAACATTTGGCGAGGTGAATGTTCAGACAGCCAAACATTATGGTAATCTGGGGCGGTTGTATCAGACAATGAATCGATTCGAGGAAGCCGAACGTATGCATCAGAAGGCGATTAAAATTAAAACGGATCTGCTGGGCGCCTTTGACTATGAGGTGGGCCTGTCCATAGGCCACCTGGCGTCGCTATATAATTATCAAATGAAAAAGTATCACGAAGCCGAGAAGCTTTACCTGCGCAGCATCGATATAAGTGAGTAAAAGATTCTATATTTATTATTCATAATTATTATTGCTTGCTTTATCTCTTCCCATAGGCCTGCGCCTGTTTGGTCACTCGTATTCTGGTCTGGAGTATGATTATTTGGGCCTGTGCCATGTCTACGAGGTGCTGCACAATTTCGAAAAGTATTTGCAGTATGCGCACACCCTGGAGAACTGGCAGATACTCCGGGGCCAGAATATCACACAAAACGTAGGTTTTGATAATTATAACAAGATGAGAGTTGAATTTCTGAAAAGTTTTAATTGAAAAGAGTTCTTGTTATTATCCTAATGAACCCGTTTTTGTTCTCTTTTCAATTGTGCCTTTCCCCCAAGAAGTCCAGCTATCCGGCCATCGATGAGGACTATTCCATAGAGGAGGTCAAGACCAAGTTCTTCAGCATGTGTGTCTGCAATAATACCGCCACCAGCAGCAGCAGCAGCAGTCCATAGAAACCCCAAGTCAGGCTCAACAAAAAAACATACAAATTTGGGGAGTGTGTAGAGTGGAAGAGAGAGAACAAGTCTCGGTGGCGGCAGATATTCGTTTTTGCAACGTTTTTTATTTAATATATTGTTCGTTTTTTTAAGCTTCAAAATATCCAATTAGCAAATATTAATATTCAGTAAGCTGAGATGATGTTTACTTCTTGTTCCCCACATCGAATACGTCCAGACCCAGTCCCCCCCAGTCCTGCTCGTCCACCCTAGGCTTAGAATAGAGACGTTGATGCAAAGTTTAGCGATTTAGTAGTAGTAGTTGTTAGAAGGACCGAGAGTTGGGCTACGCGTGGCGCTTTCCTCTATCTAAAATATCTTAAATTCTACTCCCAATTTCATTCAATTTTTAACATTTTTTTTGCGATAAACTCAGAAAGATTTATGATTTATCTCCTGCCTTATGAATGTGATTCAAAGGGGTCACCTGTTTGTGTTTTCTAGGTTCACTAAAGTTAAAAGAACAGAATAGCAAAAAGTGTATAGATTATAGATGCATCCAAGCGATATCTAAAAAGTATTTTCCTGCCGCAGCCGCTAAAGTTTGATGGAGAAGCGAACAAGCACCACCAACACCACCACACTCAACACACACACACACTCACAGCTTCCAGTTAACAAAAGGTATATTAAAGATTAAATAACATAATATATATATATATATATATATACTATAAATTTAAATAAATAAATGTGTATGGAGTAACCGACAATTTATACCAATTAACATTTGCTACGCAGACGTAGTCCGGAGACATACTTATGATACTTTTTTGTGGCATTACTTAGCAATAATATGTAAGTCGTAAGTGCGAGCCGAAAGCGTTGTAAATCTCAAAATAATAATAAAATTAAATGCAAATATCTGGATGTTTTCCTAATTTTTATTTATTAAAAATATTCACTAGAATAGAGGGGTTAATATCTACTCATTTATTTATATTCCCTCTACTTTTTATTCAGTTGTAAGTTTTTTGTTTATAAAAATTGTAATTTTTTAAAAATTAACTGTTTAAATATATCAACAATATACTAAATTACTTTGGTTCATATATTAGATAAGGTTCAGGGGGAAATTTAAACTTTTTGGAATTTTTTAGGTGGAGAGCCGAATGTTTGTCTGGCCACACTGATTTCAGCGATAATGGCGGTATTTACAGTTAGAAACCAAAGTTCTTTTGCATTCCCTTTCATCCTTCAATTCGGTGAAATTTGTTGGCAAGCAGTAAAGTGAAAAGAGAAAAACGTGCAGAAAAAATGGAAAACGATATGTTCACGAATATTAAGAAAATGTACGATCACAAGTTGTACGACTGCGTCATCCCAGCGGTAAGTTTTAAGCCGAAAAACGAAAGAAGGAAGCCCGTGAGTCTGAGTTTTTTTTTTTTATAGGCTGGCCTGCTGCTGACGCTTATGCACAACGATCGCAATTTGGCCACACAGGAGGTGGAATACCAGGTGCAGCACTATCTGGCCGGGGCACAGTTCGAGGAGCGCCAATTCCGTGCCGCTCTACGCACGCTCCAGGAGCTAATCCAACAGCGCAGCCAAATGGTGCGCAAGCGAAATGGCCTGACGGCCATTGAAAGCGTCTATGCGGAGTTCGGGGACGTGGAGATGCGACGCCGCCTGGCGGAATGCTATAAACAGTTGGGGAATACACAGATGGCCATTCGTGTGCTGCTCCAGGTGCCCGTAAAGTCAAGGACGCCGAGGATTAACTTGATGCTGGCCCGGCTGCAGCATTATGGCGATGCAAACAGCAGCGGCCGGAACAAGGCCGAGGCATTGTATGCCTACAAGGAGGTGATACGCGAGTGTCCCATGGCGCTGCCGCTGATCCAGGAGATGCTCGAGATGGGCTGCGAGGGCAGTGAGGTCAATTCGCTGGTTATGAACGGTAGTGTAGACACGCCCATGCTTCGCTCTCTTTAATAACTTTAGTCCGTTTTTAGCCGCCACATTGCCCCCCGACATTGACTGGTTGAGCATATACGTAAAGGCCCTGGCCCAAATGTTCAACTGTCGCCATTTGGATGCGGCAAGAACCTTTGAGCAGCTCACCGCCGACTCCTGCCTGCGGTGCAGCGAACACTTGCTGCTGGCCACTGGCAAGTGTTACTATTATCACGGTCAGCTATTTCAAGCGGAGCAGTGCCTGTCTGCCGCCCTACGCTCCAATCCCTATAATCTGGAGGTCATGGGTGTGCTAAGCGTGGTGATGGAGCTGGGTGAATATCCCATGGCAGAGCGGGATCAACTCTACGCTAAGTTGGACTACGAACTCGAGTCAGTGTCTGAGCATCCGCACCTGATCACCGCCCATCAGTTATTCCTTCGCGCCCATTTCATGTTCGTTGAACGTAAGTTCGAGCGTGGTCTGGGCTTGTTGAGGCGTTGCCTCCAGCTGGAGCCGCGACATCCGGAGGCACTGCTGCTACGAGCCCGTCTCTACACGGATATGGAACGGTATACGGAGGCGGCGGGTGCATATCGCGATGCCCAGATCCATTTGCCGTATCGTTTTGAAGTCTTCAAGGGTCTCTTCAACTGTTATTTGGCCCAGAAGAGATATGCGGAGGCGCAGGCCATGTGTACGCTGACCCTGCGCCGCTTTCAAGCCTCAGCCCGATGCTATATATTGTTTGGACGGACATTGTTCTCCTCTGGAAATCCGAGTGTAAAGAAGACAGCCCGTAAGTTTGCCCAGAGGGCATTGCAAATTGATGCCAATTATATGCCGGCGGTGGCCCTGATGGCCGATATCTATGAGCTGGAGGGCAATACGGGGGAGTGTCTGAAGCTGTTGGAACAGCACACGACCTACCATCCGCATGCGGACTTTTTTGTCCAAATGGGCAATATGCAGCGAATGGAGAAGCAGCCGATCAAGGCACTGGAATACTACTACAAGGCATTGGGGTGAGCGATTAATAAATCAATTGATAAATTCAACAAATTAAGAAATTAATTTCAAAATAAATCTTTAGCATGAATCCAAAAAGCTTGGGCGCTCTGCAAGGTATTAATAGCTTGAAGGGCTCCTCCTTGGACATTGAACTGATTGCGGGTATCAAACGCTCCACGGAGGATAAGCAACCGATTGTCAAACCGGAATTTCTCGGCACCGGTTGCATTGATTCCTCATCTTCCTTGCCAAATGCTGGGGAGGCTGTATCCTCCTGCTCAAACTCACCGCGTTCGGGACGGGAGAACGAGGATGTATCGGAACTTGATACCACTTCGGAGCAAATGTGGCAGGATGTGGATGTGGAAATGGTAAATCTGAATACCTCCTTCTGATTTAATGTATTTATATACTCCAAGTATTATTATTATTATTATATTTTTTTCTTTTGTCAATGCATTTTCCAACACAAGCTTTTTTCTGATTAATTTTTTTTTTAATACCATTTTAATAGGCCTACGTTTTTGTGAAAGTTTAGAATTACGAAGAAAGTAGTCGCATTTTAAATTTAATTAAAATTTTTTTATAATACAGTTAATTAAAATTATTAAAATAATAAAAAATAAAAATAAAATAAAATCTTAAATTAAAATAATAAAATTACAACTCTAATGAAGCGATTTAAAATTTGATTTAATATGTGGCTATTTTCTTTATAATTCTAAAATAAATTTATTTAAATTTTCTTCATAATTCTATAATTTCACTATAACTTATGCCTATTGTAAAAAAATTACTAACTAAAACAACTCAACTAATTAAAGAATTTTGTTTGCCAACTGTCGTTCTGATCTGGCAGTTGCTATACTTAAAGCTCTCACAATTTTTTGTAGAGTAGTCTGTGTTTTTTTTGCCTTAAATATAAACATATCCAATATGGAAATCGTGGGAATTCATGTTTACCGCTTCTTTGTCGTTTTTATACTGCTAACCGGCAGTATAAGTTTGTATTGGTTTCGTGTCCATGTTTTAGAACATGATAGGAATAGCATATAAGCGGTAAATCTCTTCAAGAGGATGCTTCGAGGACGAAAACCCATATCCGCTACGTTCCCAATCTGCTTCCGTTCTATTGAGATGCAAGAGCTGTCGAAGAAGAACAGGAAACTGTCCGTTACTTATTTTATTTAAAAATAACGCGTTTTTTAAAGAAATTTGTAAATAAAAAATTTTAAATTTTAAAACGAACCCCAAAGCAGTCAGCTCTTGTCCGTTATGAAAGCTCCAACTATCGGTTTATCGGTACGAATAATCGCAGCCAAACCTAGCATGTTGCCCATCGCCAGCGAGCAGCGCAGCGACATGGTGCAGTTGAGTATAAGGTGGGATTTTATATATATTAATATAATATAATATATGAAATATATCAATAATATTATAATACTATAATAATATTTTTAAAAAATTATATTTTTATTAAAAAAATTGATTTTATTTCTAAAATAAGAATGTATAAACCCTTAGGGGGTGCATGGTGTTTACCGGACTTTATTTTCACAATTTAAATTTAAATAGTTTTAAGTGTAATTCAACTTTGAATTTTCTATACATATTTTTTGGGTTTTTTATTTTAGAATAAGAATGTGATGATCAGGGCTTTTTTTATTTTTGTATTTTTAAATTAGCATGTGGAATAAGGTATAATTTTACAAAGCCAACAATGATTGTAAACAACCTTAAGCGTTAAGGGACTAAGCCCCGAACGCCTTGGGCAGCCGACGAGACCACCTTATGTCTGCCCGCACCATGCGCCGCGAGCAGAGTCTATTTAAGCCAGCACAACTCGAAATCAGTTTGAAATTTGTCGGCCGACGGCCGCTCGCTCGTTGCTCGTGTGTTTCGCTGCGTTTCGGTATTTGCCGCCTTGAGTCGTGTCGTCGTCGCTTCGAAAAAACTGTCTCGAAAATATATTCATGCGATAATTGAACCGGGGAATCGAAATAACTAACTTTTGTTGAAACAAACTATTGCTATTATGACATTTTTAGGCATTTTCCAAGCCCGACTTAATTGAGGGCCGTTTCGTTTCTGTGTTTGCCCGCCGGTTCTCTTTTTTTTTGTTTATGTTTTTCAATTTTTTTTTGTGTGCAAAAAAAAAACCGAATTTTAGAATTTTCGAAGCGCGGAGTGGAGTGTAATGTGCGAAATTTTTGAATCAATTGATAACTGGTTTAAATATGATTCAATTTAATTTAATTTGATTCGATATACCCACGAATTCTTTCCCACTATTGTTGTTGTTGTTGCGAGAATAAACAATAATAATAATAGCAAATAAAACGAAACCATTTGCATACAAATCTGCTGTTTTTTGGCGACTGTCTTCGAAATAAGGTTAGTTTCCTCCGGATGTTTGAATAAAATATTGGATAATTAACCAAGATTTTCCAATGGAAGAGAATTTAAATATTTAATTTAATTTTGTTTAAATTAAAAAGAAAATGTTTAGGGTCTTAGTCTTTTCTATAAATTATTTATTAAGTGTTTATTTACATAAATAATTGAGATATACATGCTTTAAGCTTTCGTAGTAATTTTCTGTCAAGTTTCTTCGAGTGAAAAGATTGGATTTTAGACTATAATATAGAATTGATTTCCCTTTTTGATAATAGTTTTTATTTTATTTTTGCAACGAGTTTCAACAAACGCTTGCTTTAACCCGTCAGCGGTCGTCGTGAGTTTTTTATTTTATCAGCGGAATAAATACAATTGGGAGCGTTACACATGTTTGCAGCGATTGTGATTTAGTTTTGTTTTTGTGTTTTTCTTTTTTTTATGTTTTGTGGCGATAATAAAGCTGGCAGCCCCAAAAGCGAAGAACAAAAGCGAATAGAACATGCCCTATCGTGTGGGTCAGCTAGAGTTGTCATCATCCCGCCGCTATCGGGGCTCCACGCACTTGTTGATTTCAGTTATTCCATATGCAGTTATATTTCTTTTTACTTGTTTTTTTGTATAGGAGAAAGAAATATAAGTTCTGTTGAGCGATTTCCTAGAACCACGTTTTTGGTCATTCTCTTGACTTTGTTTCTGCTTACGGATGACTTTCTTTGGGTTCCGGGAAATGCTTTGCATTTAAAAAAATCTGCTCTGCATGCCATAAATTTTTGGATAATTCATTACTCAAAGTCCGCCCCCTAAAAAATTTGTTTATTTACTAATTTAAGGCAATATATGGCACTTTTTGCAGTGTGTGTGTGTCAACAAACAATTTACAGCTGTTTACGCCTGTTGGACGCCCGCAACAACAACAAACAGTTCCAGGAGCAAAGGAGAGAAAATAAGATGAGCAGGCAGAAAAAGGAGTTGAAATAAGGCAAAAACTCTCAGAGAGTGAGGGAAGAGAGAGGAGCACTCATTTCCATTGTCTTTGGTCGCTGCAAGTTTTTAATTTCTCAGGCTTCCTCCATCAATTTTTAAACTGATAAGAGCCAACACACACTACACACCACTGATAAGCACACTCGCTTGGGCACACACACGCACATCAGACATCATTGAAACAGAGTTTTTCAGTTGTTGTGCTTTAAGTTAGTTGGGCTGGGCGGCTTCGACTTGCCTTCCTTCCATCCATTTTCCCATGGCACATAGCGGTCGCCAACGCATGCGCCTCTCTTTTCACACGCACACTTCCACTGATAGCGTTTATGGATTACAATAATTTCCAGTCGACGACGCGCACAGTGGTTGTCCCGGATCCTTTTGTCATGCAATAAACACCCCACTGTGTGTGCAGCAATAAATTATGATTTTATTGCCTTGGCATTTAAAGAAGAAAAAGCAGCACAATGCAGCTGAAGTTCTGAAGGAATTGCCGTGTTTTTTTTTAATACCCTTTAGTTTTTATATTCGAAAATGATTAATTAATTGAATTTTAATTAAATCAAATTATTTATCGGTGTAAGCATGTCTCCCCCACTGTGCCAACTATTTTGCAGTGCGTTTTGCTTACCTTACCGCCTTCTTCTGCTTCCCATTTCGCTGCTCCTTCTTTATCCGCTCTCTCACGCTCTACCTCTCTCTCTCTCTCTCTCTACGAAATAGTTGGGCAAGGACTTGCGCGGAAGCTGCCGCAGCCAAGGGGGGGAAGAGTGGGTGTGCTTGGGCAACCCTGTGCAGTCCCGTTAAAGTTACAGTTTTGTCTCCAGTCATATGGTCGCCCCGTCAAGTGGCGGAGTTGCGGTTTCGGTGTCGCGAAGTCGTCGCGGTGTCCATCCAACTCCAAACTGCAAACTTCCTACAACTGATTTTCCTTCCGTTTCCGACTTTTAAATTTTCTGTGAAGGTTCTCTCCTTTTATCTACGGTTATTTACATATTGTTTTTGTTATTGTGCTGTGCTGTGTGTGTGTGTGTGTGTGTGTGTGTGTGTGTAGTGCGTGAGAGAGTGCAAAAAACGGTTACCGCCTTGGATATTGGTACCGTTATTGGTAATAACGAACGTGCTTCCTTGTCTGGGCTCGAAAAAAAAAATTCGCTGCTGTTTTTCGGGTCGCGTGCAGAAAAAAAGTAAGCGCAGAATTTAACGTAAATTTCAGAGTGTTTTTTTGTGTAGTTTTTCTCCTTTTTTGTTTTTGTTATTGCTTACTGACTGACTGTTTTCTCCGGTTTAAGGAGGGTGGCAACCATCGATTTGCGTGTCGCGCTGCCGAAAACACTGAAAAATCCCAAAATCAAAATCAAATCATCAACACAATGGCGAAAAAAAAAATATAAATAAAAATAAACAAAAGAAATCAAATGCCAAATAGCAAAATCGCAATTGTTCGAAATCGAGAGAGAGAAAATACAACAACATCAGCTTTGATGATTATTATTATTATTTATATTATTATGCTGACTGTCTCTGATATTGGAACTTGGCGTTTTATCCAATAACACTGGCTCTGTGTTGGAATGTGCCCATTAGTGCTGGTTGTGTGTGTGTGTGTGTGTGTGAAAATCAGCAGAGAACCAATTTTTATTGTTGACTTATTTTGTTATACCCGTTACACCATATGGTACAGGGGTATTAATTTTTGGGTCCACATAATGTTCAAATAGAGTAATCGTCGACCCCAATAAAGTATACTATAGTAAATATTCTTTATTTATCCTTATTAGAAAAAGTGATTTCGCCATGTCCTTTTGTCCGTAAAATAGCATAAACATCTAAACCTTACAGAGTTAATGTCATATTAATAATAAAGTAAACTTTGATATATCGAAATTTTAGATATCGAAAAATATCGGATTTATTATAAAGAAATATCTTAGTTATGAAAAAGAATTCGAAAAACCTTTAATATTTTTCTTTTTGACCGATTATTTTGGTTCGATATAACAAAAAGATTAATGATTGAAGTTGGAATATATCGATTTTTTAATATAAAATATCGATATTGTATGAAAGGAGCTACAACAAAGGACTTAAGCTTGGGGTATGCCACAGTCGAGCTTATTCCTAAATTCCTTTTCTACTTGTTTGTATATGTTTTGGATTTATTTTTTGTTTCCGTTGGTTTTTTCAATTATAAGTCCACATGCAACGAACACCCCCAATAGCAACACCAACTCGTAATATCCGACCGATATGCATATGTAAATATATAGTATATAAATGCAAACAGCAAACTGTGACAGCTCCAAGCTTATTGAGTTTATCTGAAGTTTTTTCCCACTTACTACAAACGACGCCCGTCATCATCATATATATAGAGTATATAGTATATAGTATAGTATCTGTATACGATGTTTTATCCATTAAATATGGCATACCGACAGATCCAGTTTGTACCACTTAGGAGTAGACCAAGCAATTTATGATTATAGACCAAGAACTTGCAACGGCATCCATACATCGATCGGCGAACAAAGAGCGATATATTCCTTTATGGCTCGTATATTAGTTAAAGATAAGCGCCATATGGCTATACTTGTAAACTATAGCTTATGACATCGAGATAAGGCTATATATATAATACATTTTTGTTTTTGCTTATATATTTCCTAGCTAAAAGCTTACACTAATACTAAAACTTAGATAAGGCCATTATTTCAAGGGAATAGAAAAGAGTTATAATTAGTAACCCTGTTTTTGTATATATATTTTTTTTATATATTTACTTTCTTAAACTTCCTTTTAAATAAAAAAATCAAGAAAAGTCGTGTAAATATTAATTTATTTATGACATTACACCTTAAAGATTAGGGCTTTCCCTAAATTTCACATTTCCATTAAATTCTTTAAAACTTTCTTTTATTTTTTTTATTTATAAAAAACAATTTTTTTAAATATATAAATTTTTTTGCAAATACATTTATTTAAATTTGCCACAACTTTTATATTAAGTTCCTTCCTGTCTATATTTTCTTTCAAAGACGGTTTTTCCATGAGTCATTGCCTTTGGCAAAAAAGGGCCTCCCACTGCGTCAGGGCGCCTTTACAAATTTTGTTTTTATTCCCAAATTTTGTTTTTTTTTGCCAGGAGATTGAGTCATGTCGTCAGCTGTTCTAATGAGTATAACCTTTATGTGGGGATCGGTAGAGGAGTGAATGGGGTGACGACGGCACAGGAACAGTCACTAGTTGGGCTGACCTTGATGACCGCATGCGCGGGCATTCGTCACGCACTCGACAGCAGCAGGAGTTACCCTCGACCCCCCGCCACCTACCCGAGAGAAAAGGTCACTGCGGCAAGAGGCCTGCACAAAAATGTGGCATTGACCTTGTCCAATTCTTACCTGAACAGAGGTCGCAGAGACCAAGGTTTTCGGAAGGTGTCAAGCGGTGTGTAGCACATTAAGATATTACCAGAAATCTGTCATCAATATTGGGTCTTTGACACTCTGCCTTTTTTTCTTAAGTAAATTTTGAGAAGATTAATTTGAATAAAAAAAGATTATTAAATAGGTATTGTTAAAACCGAAGAAATAAATATCAGAAGCTGGAAGATATTCGAGTGAATAATTTAGTTATTTACATAAAACTAATATAAGAAATGAATTTTAATTAATAATTATAGCCATTCTGGTTGTAAAGCCTTTGTTTACATAAATATCAAATGTCTACCTTTTATATAATTAATACCTGTGATAATTATTGGTGAATACCCACAGGACATCAAAAAAACACACCCAATTCTTTGTAGGCATTTCCGTTGTTTTTCCCCCATTTTATTCTGTTTTTTTTGCGTGTCTCTACTCTCTTTTGCCATTTCCGCTTGTCAAACATTTGTCAGCTTTTAGCTTATTGCCAACTTCTGTAGCTCTCCTCTCGCTAAATAGTTGGGCCTATGGGGGTCTCTATATAATACATATATGAGAGCGATTGCGAAGGCAAGCCTACACTGGATAGAGTCTGGGTCTTTGGATTTGGGCTTTGGGTTTCGGTATTGGGATTCAGTATGGGTCCGTCCAAGTATTTAGCCCACCTCGCAGTGGCTCAGTGGCTTGGCTTTAGTCGGTTTTCATCGCATATTTACGTAGGCCATTCAAGCCAAGTTAACGCCTTTATTTATTGACTTATTTGTTTAGACCAGGCCACACCTCTCTTTCCTCTTTCCGCTTTTCAGTGTGCGTGGAAGGCAAATAAAACTCCATTTACCGTTTTTCTACTTGTGTTTCTTACGATGATGTCACACAATCTAGCATGTCGCATAACTTGAATGAACATTATATACTTTTCTAGTACTATATATGGATGTATATTGAAAGGAAAAGTCCTAAAAAATGTTAAATAATAATATACAAAATATTACTTTCAATATTATATAAAAAATAATGTAATCTTTCATAAATTGAATGTTAATAATAATATTTTTATATTCTATTACTATATATTATTATTTTATATATTTTTCACCAATTTGATTGATTATCTATGGCCAGTATATTAAACAAAATATCGATTTATCGCACATTTATCACTTTATAATCGAAAAATATCGATAATATTTATTCTATTTATTTTTTCTCTAATTTTACCAATTACAATCGTCCAATATCTAAATCAAATATTGATTTATTATTATATATCACCTTACAATATAGATTGTATCTACTTTCTCATCTCATATTGATACCATATCGTTATATCGATATTTTCTTTAATTTCTCCTATATATTCACATTTCTTTATTCAATATTCTTTATTTTTCTTAACTTTCAGCTGAGGAAAATCAACAGAATAGCACAGAAGATACCAAAAACCAATCACAAACACGAGGGATATATCAACAGCAGATCGGTAAGTTCATCAGAGTTCGGTGGAGGTGTTAAATATAGGGGAAGTCTGGGAAGTCCGCGGCTTTTATGTCACAGAAACTCTCATTGTTATTCCCCCCTTAGAGTTTACTTGGTATTTTTTTTTTTTGTTAAATAAGGGGAGATATAGGAACTTTAACAGAAAGTTCCATAGAACTATAAGAATATATTTTCATTATGGTCTTATCTGAAAATATTTCGAATCTGAGAAAGAATTTGCACCAGTGAGTCATTGTTTTAGGACATCTCTGATCACATGGGATGACGGAAATCCTTTCACAAGAAAAGTATTCTTCTCTCAAGCATTCAACCCTGAAAAAAAAAAATAAATAAAACACACAAAATAAAGTCGCGATGCACTAATCACTTTGGTTCTGGGAAAGTGTTCCGCGTGAATCATTTGGCTATATGTTAACAGCCGGGTCTTGGACTCTATCAAACGCGTATCTCTCTTGGCCGTGATAAAAATACGAGCAGTTTCGTCATAGATCAAGATGATGACGATGCCTCGGGCTATACAACAGTTCCCAAAAAAATATATATATACTATATATACAATTACTATATAGTCGCCACGAGTGCGATATTTATTTTTGTGTGGCGCGCTCGAATTTTTCGGCACTTCGGGGGATTATGTCGTAGGTCAGGGAATGTATTTTTGATATTTATGAATGGGAAAAGAAAAAGAAATCGTTGTGTGACTCACAGCGACTCAGTGCTGCATATTTTCGGGTCTCAGTTTCAGTTTCATTTTCAGAGTCACCGTTTCAGTATCATTTTCGATTTCGTTATCGTTATCACGAGTATATCGTCACGATTGTAGTATCGTCGCCTCAATTGGCATTCAACGAACTAACAGCAAAACAATTTTGGGGGCTCTGAAAACGTGGCACAAAACTCATTCATTCACAAAGTTGTCGTCGTTTGTCATATATATGGTAAATATATTCCTCTTCCATATGAATATTTCAATATTTATGAGTGACTTCTCCTAGCTCCTCGACTTCCTTCCTTTACCTTCTCTCTCAATCAGATTCAATCACACATTTCTTTTTATTTTGTTTTTTTTTTTTTGACAGTTCATTTATTTATTTCGACAGGGGTAGAGTGTGTCAAGTGATCGCCAAAGGGCCAGCCCGGCATACAAATGGGGATAGATTGGGTTTTTGTGGGAAGGCGGGGTATTTGGTGTTGGAACTGAAATCATCGATCAGTTTGGCAGTTGATCAAACAGAGATACCTGGGGATGACAGATCACAGGGGAGATTACGGGAAGCACAGGGTGCTAAAGGTGACTTTAAAAGCGGTTTTTATAAAAAAAAAGGACTAGGTATTACTTGGAATTAGAATCATCTATTGTCCTAGGATCAGGATAAATTTCAAAGCAATTACAGATTTTAATCTCTCTTTTGAGAAACTTTTTTGAGAGTTTTTTAAGGAGCTCCCAGAGCATTAAAATAATGTACTACACTTGAAAAAAATATCCATTTTTCGTCATTGTGGCGTTATTTGGGAAAAGTATAGATAGAAATCGATACTTTGATAATCGATATTGATATATCGAAAAAAGGGACATAAATACAAATCATTTTTGCTGATGTTTCGATAAAGTTTATTTTGTAAAGATTCAGATTTTTAAACAGTTTTTAATATATTATATATTATATTTTATTATAATATTCCAAGATATCCCTTAAAATCCTCCTAAAAATCATTAAAAATCCCACTTTTATTTAATTACCTACTCATCAAAGCTTTTCTTTGACCTTTTTGTACTTGAATTCGTTGCTAATTTGTTTTTTTTTTTTTGTAAATTCCTTCATGGAAAATCTCTCTGATCCACTGATCTCTCTTTCACTCGAAATTATTCATGCCCGATGCCCACCCGAAGGCGATCTTTTGTCTCTTTGTCGCCGCTGTTCATTCAATTAATTGCACACAGAAGAGAGTGAGAGAGACTAGAGTCGCAACTTGGTTGGTACATCTCCTCCAGTGTATCTTGTAGCTACATCTGTCGTCTATCTGCATCTGTATCTCGAGTAGAGGCATTTCCCATGGCTGTGGCGCCCCTTGCCTTGCCTCTTGTAAATAAAATATAGTTGTTCGCGCACGCAATTTGCTGTTCGCTCATCTCAGAGATCTCCAGAGATGAGATGCTGCTGCTGCTGTTGCTGTGGTCATGAACCCGCATTGTAGTTGCCATTTTATTTGTTTATTAATTGCTCAGACCCCTCTCGCCAGCGGTTGATGGATGATGTGGCTCCCATCACCATCGTCATTCCATCTCCTATCTCTGCCTCTGACTCTGATGCTGACTCTGACTCTGTCTCCATCTCCACCTCCGGGTCTATGTCGTTGGCATGTGGGTTGTGGGTGAAATGAAACCATTCAAGTTAGTGGATGGATGACAATGAAATGCTAAAGTTTCACTTATTTATTTATGTATATTTATAGATATCTATGGATATGTATATGTATATATTTAAAGGGGAGTATTACGGAGTTTACTTCGAGGTTATTGGCTTTACCTTAAATATTTTAGACCATAGAAATTGATCTTTTTATTAGCAAGATTCCAAAGTCACTACTTATTCACTAATTATTCAGGAGTAACCCTTAACCTTTTCCAGCTTTTAATCCATAAATCCTTTTATTTTAATGATTCAATATCCTAACCCTCAAATCGGATTTAAGATCATTATCTTCTGCTGCTATTTAAAGTCTGAAAAGAATGAGGTGGTCCTGCTTGTTCATTTTATTTGCTTATTTTTTATACTAGCTAGCTTCATTTCTTGTTTTATTTTGCAATCTTGGCAAAGCAGGCGTGAAATCATCGTTATTATAATGATTGTTTCTCTTTTTTTTGCTAGGCATTATTATCGAATTAACACTCTGCTTGGCATACCCATTATAAAGAAGTTAGGGGAGTGTGTGGAAGCCGATTAAATGCTTCCAACGATTGTCGCCTATTAACGAAATCAACTCGGGATGCGGGCGGTCGTCTGATGGGCCTAATCAAAAATGTATTTATGATGTTTATATACCATATAGTATTTACTATTTACTGGGTCAGGGGTAGCAAGCGTTGCGTACTTTAATTTTATTACATTTAATGGCATTTAGTCATTAAGGGATTTTCTGTGTTTTTTTTCTCTCTTTTCGATTTTTTTTTTGTCTAAAAAATCAGTGTTTTGACGAAAAGATCAGTGAGCTTGGGTTTAATGAATGGGGGCGACAAGCGATCGAATGTCCGAATGCCAAGTAAGCTGAAAAAAAAACTACAAGAAATAATTTAAAATAAGAGAAAAAACAAAAACAAAAAAAAAATTGAAAAATATAAAATAAAGACAAGATTAATAAAAAAATATATATCTATATAAATATATATATACACTGCGTTTCACTTGAATAGCACACTTTTTTATGCAATTTCAAATCTTGAAATCTTTTAACCAAAAAAGAAAACTCGCTGATGTTTAGGTTTCTATTTATAGTGTAATCAATTTTAAATATAAGAAAAGTAACAAAACTTAAATTAAATTAACAATTAAGAAATGTTAACAAAAAAAACATAAAAACTTAAAAAATTGCACAACAATTTTGTTTCACATGAATAGCACTTTTTTGTTTTAAAGTATATTTAACGAACTTAAATATTAGGAAATGTGTTTTTATTCAATAGTGATTATTCATACATATATATTTGTTAATTTAGTAATGGGTTGAGCCTCCTTTATTCAATATAACCTCGTAGATCCTGTTGGGCATCGAATCATATAGACTTTTAATGTAGTCTAAGGATATTGTAGCCCAGGCCCTCTGAATGGCCTCAACTAGTTCTTCTTTTGTTGAAAATTGTTTGCCAGACTCATAAACCTTTCTGGCCAGCCATCCCCAAACATTTTCAATTATATTCAGATAAGGCAAGTATGGTGGCTAGCTCAGAGTTTCAACATTTTTATCTTTTAAAAAAGATTTTACAATACCTGCAGTATGTATTGGCGCATTGTCGTGCTGGAATGTCCAAGGCAAATTATTGAAAAAATTTTCCAATGGTGGAAAAGCCTTTTCAAGGACGTTTAGATACGCTTTTGCGTTCATGTTTGAGGATAAGAATTGGAGCTCACAAGTCCCATAGTAAGATATGGCCCCCAAACCATAACTCCGCCTACTCGACTATGTAAACGCTCTAATTGATGCGTCTCTTTCCTCAGATCATGAAAATAATAATTGCAGCCATCTGGCCCCTCCAAATTGAACTTTTTTCATCAGAAAACACTACGCGCTTCCACTCGTTACACCATGACATATTGACGCGGCAAAAGGTCAACCGTGCTTCCTTTCGTTTGGGGTTAAGCGGTGGTTTTTTTTTTAAGTTTCAAACGTTTTAGATGTTTAGCTTTCGAATTAACTCGCCAAACAGTAGTTTTGCTCGCGTCAACACCTGCTTTTGCCCTTATTTTGCTCACAGAGTCATAAAAATTTGAGGCTTCCCGCAGAATCGCACGCTTATGTGTCGCTAAGAACACAACATTTGCGACCTTTCATATTTTTTCCATAGTTTTGTTTGTTCTTTATAAAATTATATACGACTTTTCTGCTTTTTCCAATTTTTTTCGCTATATTAGCTACAGAAAGGTCACAATCAATATAGCTTTGTATTTGGATCTGTTCTTTGTGACTTAGTGACGTTCCAAGACCCATAATTGCACAAAATGATTAAACTAAGTTTAAAATTCATAAATTAATCAAAAAAAGTTTTTGATTCTATCTCCTTGGCTGCTGAAATGACACGTAATATAAAATGTGCTATTCAAGTGAAACAAAAAATGTGCAAGTTATTGAAGCAATTTGAAAAGAAAATTACGGTACATTTAAACGGTAAATTTTCAGACTTCCAATTTTTGTTGGAAGAGAGTATATAATATGACGAAAATAAAACAGCAACAATTATTGCATTAGATCAAGCAGTTGCTGAGAGAT